GGTGTTCCGAGGGCTGGGAAAAGTGGAACCCCAACCACGACAGCCACCGAGGGGAGAGAGCAAAGCAAAAACTCCCGTTTTAGACACAGGGGTCTCCCTCATCACATTCTATGGCAAACGCTGCCTCCAGAGGGGCTTGTTGGAAGTCCACAGAAGACATTCCTCGTAAGCCCGCTCCCCCAGCTGCTTCTCACCTAGACTAATCTCACATGTGAAAGGGGCCCCCCCACACAGAAAGGCAGGCGCAGGCAGGTCTCTGCCTCCCCACCACCGCTCTCTTCCTCCATGGAGGGCCCTTCTCCTTAGAACAGCAAAGCTGGGTGATCCCGGGAGAGGACTGAGAGAGCCCCTCAGAGCATGACTGGCTGGAGGACAAAGGGGTCTGGAGCTTGGGCACCGCTCCCTTGCCAGCAGGAGGCGCCTGCTGGATCTGGGGGCCACCCTGGAATGAGCCCTCCTCCAGGGGAGGGGCGAGCAGGGGCACGCTGTGGCCCTCGCCCTCCTCAGCCTCTGCCTTCTCCCCTCCGCAGGACCCCTTCCAGGCGTTCCACATCGACAAGGGCCTGGTGAGGAAGTACATGAGCTCGCTCCTGATTGGAGAGCTGTCTCCCGAGCAGCCCAGCTTCGAGCCCACCAAGAACGTGAGCCCGCTTTGCTGTCTGGTGGCCCCGTGGCTGTTGAAGGGCAGGGTGGATCCTGGCTAGGACGCAGGCGACGCAGACAGTGGTTCCTGGGAGCCCTGAGGTCCCTTTCTTCTCACATGGGTCACCTGGTCGCAGGGCCTGGGAACCCCTGATTCTCACTGGCCGCTGTCACCACTGCCAGGAACAGCAGCGAGCCACCTAGCCAGGCACCCCTGCGCAGTCGTCACACATCTGCAGAAGGTTAAGCCATGTGGCCCAGGATGGCACAGCCATATGGGGGGCAGAGCCGGGCCCTGGGTCACTGCACCCACGTGTTCCTGGGCAGATTCCCACGCACCTCCTCACACCACCCCTCCTTGGTGATGCCGTCTTCACCTAGGGCTTCCCTCAGTGTCCCTGGAGTGGGTGCTGGCCCCTTGTCTCCTGCAGGGCTGGGCAGCGGCCAGGCAGAACAGCAGCCCTCTCCCCCTCCATTCTCATGCAGAAAGAGCTGGTGGATGAGTTCCGCGCACTGCGGGCGACGGTGGAGCGCATGGGGCTCATGCAGGCCAGCCGCAGCTTCTTCCTGCTGTACCTGCTGCACATCCTGCTGATGGACGTGGCCGCCTGGCTCACGCTCTGGCTCTTCGGCACGTCCCTTGTGCCCTTCATCGTCTGCGCGGTGCTGCTGAGCACAGTTCAGGTGCGCGCCCTGGGCTTGTCGCCCTCCCTTCAAGCCAGGGAGCCCTGGCCTCTGCCCGGGCTGAGCGGGCCGGGGTCAGCACAGTAGGCGCCGCAGGCAGCCTGCATTTTTCTCACTGCCCCTGCAGCTGCTCCTCCCTGGGTCCCCGTCTTCGGTGCAGTTTCTCCTCTGAAACGCCAGGTTCTGCTGCAGATTAGCTGTGTAAGGATGCTGGCTCCTCAGTCTCTGAGAAAAGCAGGCCCCCTCCCCACTCACACTGCCCAACATGCCACCAAAGCGTGCGACTCGCACCTGGCGCCAGGACCCGGGGCCCAGCCTGCTGCTCGCCATGTCTCTGTCCTTTTCTGTAGTTCGGGCATTCATTCCATCAGGAGTCACAGAGCTAGGCGGATGTAGGAAGCCGAAGAGGTCAAGGAGCAGCTGAGGTTGGTGAGAGGGACGCTGGGCTGGTGGACCGCTGTCAGCACCGACCCTCTCCCCAGGCCCAGGCTGGCTGGCTGCAGCACGACTTTGGACACCTGTCTGTCTTCAGGACCTCGACGTGGAACCACCTGCTGCATCATTTTGTGATTGGCCACCTGAAGGTCCGCGGGATGGGGCGAGGGCTCTCAGAAGCTCCCCTGAGTCGGGCTGCTGGGCGCCGCTGGGACACAGCGGCCTACTCAGGCCCGCTTCTCCCTAGGGGGCCCCCGCCAGCTGGTGGAACCACATGCACTTCCAGCACCACGCCAAGCCCAACTGCTTTCGCAAAGACCCAGACATCAACATGCATCCTTTCTTCTTTGCCTTGGGCAAGATCCTCTCTGTGGAGGTGAGCAGTCAAGGGCTCTAAAGAATGGCATCCCGCCCACAGAGGGTTTGGGGGAAACGCCCGCTGTGCCATCAGCATCAGCTCAGCTGGTGGACTGTGTGAAGCACAGGGTGGTGACACGCTGCCCAGGACACAGTCACCTGTCCTCCCTCATGGTCAGATTCTATACAAATCCCTGCTCGTCCTCGAAGCTGATGGACGGCTCTCTTAGGGGTGCTCTCTGGACATGCCTACCCCAGACAGGCATCCCCCTGGGCTCTGTATTCCTGTTTTAGATTTTGAAACCCTACCAACCAGGGTCCTCTCCACAGAGGGTGGGGTCATGTTACTCTCGTGAAGCCCAGTGTCTAGAGGTTCGTTCCTGACCCCACCTGCCCGACCCCATCAGACTTCCAGGGCGGTCAGCATTGGGTTGAGTTTTCCTAATGCAGCTGCTGAGGGGTGGCGCTCGGGATCCTGCCAGTCCCCCTCACCACTAAGCGACCTTACAGCTTGCCTCTAAGTGAGTTGCTGTTCAGCAGGTTTTAGTTCTAGGCCTAAGTTCAAGGTGGCTTGGCACTCCTCTCCCTTGTGAGAAGCTCTCTGGAGAGGCTCTGGCAGCCCAGGCTGTTCTCATCAGAAGCCCCTGGCCCGAGACACACACCCCACCTTCCAGCTCATTCCTGAGCAGGGAGGGCTCCCCAGGTTTGCTCCACGTGGTCAGATCCTGGTACCTGCCCCGCCCACTCGGCTGGCTACTTGTAGGGTGTGGGGGCTATTTATTGGGTTGGGTGTGGGGATCTGAGGAGCACTCTGTCAAACGCTACAGGGTTAAAAAAAAATTCTATTGCTTTTATTGCCTCTTGGTGCTAAGGCTTTCTGGAAACGTCTGTCTACAGACATTTAAAAATAGAGAATGATCTGGAACCAAAAAATAGCTGTCTTTTGGTTGCTTACTTATGAGGCTGCGCGGAGGCTGCCTGTCAGTAGATGCCCAGGCTCAGGCTGCCAGGCCTCGGTGCAACCCGGCAGGTCCGGCTTCCCGAGCACTGGTCTGGGTGCTGATCCACGGGCGTCTGCTCCAGGGCCTCGCCACGCATGTGGAGGACAGGTGCAGACACTTCCTCCTAAATCCTTCTGGCCTCCACAGGAGTCAGAGCACCACGGGGTGCAGTTGCTAGGATCCTGATGGCATCTGCTGCTGTCCAAGAGGCAGCGTGGACAGGGCGCGGTCACAGCTCCAGGAGGCGTCCTGCCGCCACCTCCCAGGCAGGCGATGCCCTCTGCTCTTCCTGTCAATGTTGTGTGGGGTGGGGTGACTTTCACCCCACATACTCATCAGCAAGCCTTGTTAGGACTGCCTCCAAACACCCCAAATCCCTGGATGGCTCCAGCCTTCCGCAGCTCCCCACAACTCTGACCCCACCTCCAGCCTAGTGAACCTCTCGATTCAATAACCGCACGTGGCTCCCCTGCCCTGGACACAAGTCCAGGTCCTCACCTGGCCTGGCTAGGGCCATCTAGCTGTCTGGCTTCTCTGCCATCTCTGCTTGTTCACGTCAGGCACACGCCTTCTCCCTGGCCCTTGAGCAGCCCAAGTCCTGTGCAGGCTGCTCTCCCCTGAGTTTACGCCTCACCGGCTCCCTCTCATTTAGTTGTCAGGTGTCAGTAGCTTGGGGAGGCCCATCTGACCACCCTCACAAATGCTGCATCTGTTGCTTTGTCTTGTTTTCCTTTTTTTTTCTTTTTAAGATTTATTTATCCATACATAGAAGAACTGGGGTACAGGCCAAGGGTACGGGGGGGCAAGAGGAGCCACAGGAGACAGTGGGGAGCAGAACAGGCAGGTCAACAGAAACACTGCTGAGGGGCACAGTGGGCGGGCTAGGAGAGGTCACGATAACTGCGGTGGCTGCAGAGAGCTTTAACCCACCGCGCCACCAGGGAAGGCTCCTGTTTTTCTGTTTTTGACCTTAATTACCGTGAGCTCTGTTTACAAATTTATCAAAAGCTCAGTAAAGATGGGAACTTGCAATATTCATCGCTGTATGCCCAGCACCTATGACAGTGCCTGACACAGCAGTGCTCAGGTGTACTTGTTGGAAGACTTGAGTTAATACTAAAAGAAGGGGTGGTCCAGCACTGTGCCTGGCCGAGGTGGCTCGATAATGACCGGTCAGAACAGCAGGCGGCACGTGAGAGGAGGGTGAGTGGCCCTCTGCTCTGCAGGCATGCAGCGGTGGACAGCACTAGTCGGGGCAGAGGCGTGAGCGCCATCAGGTGCAGCTGGCTTGCTGTCATGATCCCGGACACCTGTGCCGGGGGTTCTGGGCTGGCTGGGTGACCAGGCAGCACCAGCCTGGCTTGGAGCCATGAGGCTTACAAAAGAACCGTACCAAGGGGGGAACCTTGCCAGAACCTTTGGATTGCATGGTTACTTTTCATGTACTTCCTACAAATACATGCCAAACTTTGCGTAGCTTTCAAGGGATTTTGGAAAACTCGTGTTGAAGTCAAGAGACCAAAAAGATTTTGCTGGGAAAGAACAAGGCCTGGTGGGTGTACAGGGAAGGCTTTCCTGTGTCAGAGTAAAAGTGTCTGTCCATGGGGACTCTGATGCCACACAAGTACCAGAGGGAAGGAAGGGAGCCCCGGTGACTTGGATGCCTTTGGGGAACACGAGGAGACCTGACGACCGGGGCTGTATGCGCCAAGCCTGGAGGTCACCTGTAGGCCTGAGGCTTCACCCTCACGCTCCCACAAAGGGGCCTAAACCCCTGAGCAAGGGAAAGCCAAGGTCAAGGGTGAGGACCACAGGTGACTAACCGGTTTGCTTCTCTTCACAGCTCGGGAAACAGAAAAAGAAGTACATGCCCTACAACCACCAGCACAAATACTTCTTCCTGAGTGAGTGTCCTCCCAGCACCCTGCGGGGCACTGCCGTGGGCAGCAGTGACTCCCAGTGCTTTACCCCCCACTAGGGGCTCTCTGCCATCGCCACTGAGCAGTCAACAGGCTACTGGCAGGTCAGAGTTAGCTCGCCTGGGTCAGGGGACGCTACCCTGCTGCTCCCAGTGCCGGGGACCAGGCGGCGGCGCGCGGGGTGGGGCGAGGGCAGCTCAGGCTGGCGGCCGTCCTGCAGCTCTGACGAGCCTTCATGCCTGCTCACGCCGGTCTCCCTTCCCCAGTCGGGCCCCCTGCCTTGCTGCCTCTCTACTTCCAGTGGTACATTTTCTACTTTGTCTTCCAGCGGAAGAAGTGGGTGGTGAGTAGCCATGGCCCAGGAGTCCCCTTCCTCTGCCGCCCGCATCCTGAGGGAGAGGGAGGGCGTCGCCAGAGTGGCAGCAATTTACTCCAGACCCAGGCGCAGTTCTGCCTTACCCTGAGTGGGAAGCTTTGGGCTTGGCAGGCACCCCGAGGCCCACGCCTGGTTTCATACAGCTGGCATCTCCTGAGCATAATGCCTGGGGCTGGGGAGTGGGCACATAGAGAAAGAGGCAGCAGCTCCTCTCGGGAAACGTCTAATAAAGCAGGATGGGGATGATACAGAGAAGAGCTAGAAGGTAGAAGGTTCTAGGGTTCCAGAAAGGGTCTGGCTGGATAAGAGCATGAGCAAAGGCCATGTGAAGCCTCTAGTTGGATGGGGTGAGGTGGCGCAGGGAGCATGGCTCTCGAGCAGAGATACTGGGAAGTGGGGGTGCTCAGCCCCTGGATGTGTTGGGAGGGACTCAAGTAGGGGGTAGAAAAACAACTGGAGGGTTGATGGGTCCTGGCAGGTTCATTTAGTGGATGATGAAGAGACAAGGATTTTGGTGGCCTGGGGACACTGAAAGCAGGGAGACCCTGCAGGGGTGGGGGGGAGGGGCAGGAGGAGCAGGGAGACCCTGCAGGGGTGGAGGTGGGGGCAGGAGGAGCAGGGAGCCCCTGCAGGGGTGGGGGGGGGCAGGAGGAACAGGGAGCCCCTGCAGGGGTGGAGGGGAGGGGCAGGAGGATCAGGGAGCCCCTGCAGGGGTGGGGGGGGGGGCAGGAGGAGCAGGAGACCCTGCAGGGGGGAGGGGGGAGGGGCAGACACTGCCGGGCTGGACAGCTGCCCGGAGAAGCCAGCGGTGGCTGAGTGGCCCAGTCTGGGTCCCAGGAGGCCGCCCCTGGCAAGGAATAGCTGAGGGCGCAAAGAGGCGCTGCACGGCGCCGCCCACACGCCCTGCCTCTCGCCGCCGCAGGACTTGGCCTGGATGGTCACCTTCTACGCCCGCATCTCCCTCACTTATATGCCGTTGCTGGGACTGAAGGGCTTCCTGGGCCTTTTCTTCATGGTCAGGTTGTATCTGATGGGGGCAGTGGGAAGCCAGATTACGGTCTGGGACTGTGTTTGGGGGGCAGGGGCTGTATCAGATATGGGCTCAGGAGGGAGCAGTATCTGAGGGGGACTAGAACTCTGGGCTCTGCTGATGCTATTTTCGTCTGTGCGCTGTGCCCACCAGGTTCCTGGAGAGCAACTGGTTTGTGTGGGTGACACAGATGAACCACATCCCCATGCACATTGATCACGACCAGAACAGAGACTGGGTCTCCACCCAGGTAAGGGGTGGTCGCTTGGGCACCTGTGTGTAACAGCGCTAATCTCAAGGGCTGGGGGCGGACGCCGGGTCAGGGTGGGGCAGTCCTGGCTTGACAGTTCTGACAGTGCTGCGCATAAGCTTGAAGCTTCGGGGAGAAGGGAGTGGCACATTCCCCCAGCACCCCTCTTCTCAGCCAGTTTATCTAGAGAAGGCTAGACTGGCCTTCCCATCCGGCCCCCCTGTATCTGCTCTCCCCTGACCTCGCCCTTCAGCTTCAGGCCACCTGCAACGTCCACAAGTCCCCCTTCAACGACTGGTTCAGCGGACATCTCAACTTCCAGATCGAGCACCAGTGAGTGGGTGACCTGGGAGGGCGCGCAGGTGGGGGCCAAGGAGTAGGAGCCGCTGACGGCCCCTGTTCTCCCGAAGCCTGTTCCCGACGATGCCGCGGCACAATTACCACAAGGTGGCTCCCCTGGTGCAGTCCCTGTGTGCCAAGTACGGCATCAAGTACCAGTCCAAGCCTCTGCTCTCTGCCTTTGCTGACATCGTCCAGTGAGTACGGGGCTGGAAAGAGGTGAAGGTGCGGGGGGAGGGGGGAGCGGTCGGAGGGCCTGCAGCTGGTCTGGAATGGAGCCCACGGAGGGGGCCAGCGGAGGGGAGCGGCTGGGGTGGTGGAGATGGGCCTCCATCCCGCCGGGAGAGCCCCGCTCGCTGCTGCCCTTCTGGGGGGGTGGGTTTTGGGGCTGGGCTCCCTCACCACGGTCCCCCTCTTGCCCCTGCAGCTCTCTGAAGGAGTCAGGGCAGCTCTGGCTGGAGGCCTATCTTCACCAGTAGCAGCCGCTCAGCTGCGAGGAGCCTCTGGAGCCCAAGCAGCGGGGAGCTGGAGGGGCGACAGCACTACAATGCTAACACTGGGGGCGACTGACCCCAGCTCCCCGTCATTGTCCTCCTGGTATAGAATTCAGATCTTGAGGGGTGAGGGTACATGCATACTGCCTGGAAGAAGGGGTACTGCTGTGGGGCCGGGGTATGGGTTCCCGTTTGGCAGGTGCAGGGGGTGGGTAAGTAGAGGGAGGCAGGGGCTCAGAAGTCAGGGAAAGATCAGCACTAAAGCCACCCCAGGGTCCGGGCGAGCCACCCTCTCAGGCCACTTCTCCGTGCCTTCTCTGCCCTTGCATGCAAGCATCAGAGGCACGATGAAGCAGCTTTGCGGGACACTTGGGAAGACAAGCAGGGTGCTCAGAAACCTGAGGCCGGGCCACCGACTGGCCTCCCCATCCGGGGTGCGGGGCGCACTAGGACCTCGTCTTGCCAAAACAAGTTGCTGACAATTAACTCCCTTAAGCTTCTGAGTCACTACAACAGCAGCTCCCAGGAAGGGGAGGCCACTCCCTGCTCTCCAAGCAGGCGGGCGACTCAGTCCTCTCCCTGGAGACAGATGATGCAGTGCCCCCTGCTCCCCGGCCTGTAATGCGACTTTAATAAAACCAGCGAGCACAGGGACCGCGAGGCACACAGGTGCCCCGGCCACAAAGCACATCAGGGAGAAACACCCACAGCCGCCACGGCGGGGACAGCACCTCCCGGGAGCAGGAGCCGGGGTCTGCTCAGAGCCAGCTGCACATCTCAGTGAGAAGGCGCATCAAGCTGAAGCCCTGCGTGGCCACTGTCTGCAGGCAGCTTGGCGTCTGTGGGAGGCCAGGTGGGAACTGCGGGTGAGCTCCTACAGAGCCTGTCAGGCTAATAAGGAAATGCAGCTTTTTTAATTCTGGTGTTTAAAAAGCAAAACGGCTTAACCTACCTCTGGGGAGCAGCAATAGGAACGCACCCAGGAATGGCTCTGGCCCGGGGCTGCCTGCGCCCTCCCTGCCCACAGCCTCCAGCCCGGGAGATTATTTCCTCATCGTCTTCACCTGCTCAGCAGCCTCTGCTCGTGGCACTACTAACACTTCAGACCCTGGAGAACTTCAGACTTCTAAAAGGAAAAAGCAGCGGCCTTGGGCAAGTTGATCTTTTGTTTCAGACAGCAGACTGGGATGGAGGCCTGCGGGGCTGTAGCGGTGCCGCCTGTGGGGTGCCGCCTGTGGGAAGCCATGATTTCCCGGTGCGTCAGAGTGGCGGTTAGAGCAGGAGGCGGAGACCTGGCTGAGTTCACATCTGTTTGGGCAGAACCTGATTTAAACAAGCTGGGTAGAAAAACTGGAAGCTGGACGGAGGCGGCCCGCTGTCAGGCTCCGTCCCTCCAGAATAGGTGCGGCCCCTTCCCCATCCCTGTTCCCTGTGGAGTCACCAGCTGTCAAGCCGCCTGGCTCAGGGCCCAGGTTGCTTACTGAGCCAAGTCCAAATGTCTAGGAACCTCACAGCATCTCAACCACTGTGGCCTTCTCTCTTCAGCCTACTCCAGCCTGCTCCCACACAGCAAGGGGCAGACTGTAACAGTCAGATGAGTGACCTCAGCCAATCACATGACAGGTGAGGACACCTTCGTGCAGGTCATGGCAGGAGTAACATTTAAAACAACTGCAACTTGTTGATCTTTGTTCTTTTTATCCTCCTGCTACTTTCCTGGAGGCATTTTCTCTAACTGGGTCCAGTATCAATATCCTGTGTGTGTGCATCAGTCTGTTATCATATCCCAGTGAGGTAAAGCAGAAATAAAGTTAATTCTAACCAATAAAGGCTGTTCACCCCTCATCCTTGACACTCTGCGTGTGTTGACAGGAGCCTCCCCCGGCTGCTATGCCTTACTGTCTGCCCATGTGGCTCTTCTGAACACGATCCCCATGTAGACAGACTCCCCTTTTCATAATCCTTCGGTTGGAGGGAGGGTACCAGCACCCTCAGGAAAATATCTAGGCAAGGGGGAACTACAACATGAAGAACAAAGCCAATGCCCCTCCCCCAAGACAGACCGTGTTCATAAGGGCCAGGCACAGGCACGCTGCCAGGCTGTTCACGCCTCCCTCCCTCCCTCCTGCAGTGACGCATCCTTTCTGAACCTATGTAGTGAGTCAGTTGATTTATTTCTACTCCCAATATGACCAGTCCCCAAACTTCCTTTTTACTTAAATCTCACAGCTGGACTGCAAAGCAATCCTATAATCTCCACCCTACTCAAACACCTCTCTTTGCTGAGCAAAATATTAGACCATGCTAAATAGACTTTGAAGCAGAGTAGTTTCCTTCTGGCGTGAGTGGTAAATAAATTAGAATTTCAGATAATAAAACTCACTCTACTTGCTTGACTGCAGGGCACTAGCCTGACTGCAGGGAGGTGAGACGGGTGGTGCCCTGGGCCAACTGTCATTCCCACCGTTGGCACTCGGGCACACATTACTTGTTTCAGGAAAACAGCTCCAGGAAGCTGTTGGCTTGTTCACTTTGGGAACATTGATTTCATGAACCAGCTGCAGAAGGGCAGTGACACAAGTAGGGCCTACCTTCAGGCTAGAACTTTCTGTCCCTACTAGTTATGAGGGTGTCCCTTGGGAGACTATACCCTCCCTATTTCAACAAGAACTCTTGTACCTGAGGTTCCACATAAGATTTTACTTAAAAATAGGTTGCACCATTTAAAATTTGAAAGCCACGGGTCTTTAATCCTCAGGCTCAAAACACTGTCAACTGCAATTTCAGTTGCTTATTTAAGTGTCCTTGTTAAAAACCTCAAATGGCATTAATCAGAATGCTAACAAGTTAGAAACACCAAAGGTTACACCCCCTCCCCATCCCACTTTTATCAGGGGCATCAAACTTTCAATACAAAAACATTCCATCTCATAAAGAGCAGCTGAATCTGATACAGAAGGAACAAGGCAGTGATTTCTGAAGGGCAGGTTTCACAAGCTACAAACTGGTAAATGCTTGGATGCTATGCAGTAGCTGGTCTGAACTATGAGGTGTTCTCAAAGGAGCTTCCTCCTCTCACAGGATAGAAAAGAAATTCACTGGTATTCTAACTTCTCGGTCAGAGACTGGGCTTCTGTGCTTAAGCGGCCTTGGCCATTCTATGGGGTCTGGCGCCCTCTTGTGGCGACTCTGAACCCACCTGCTGTTAGGGTACAACTTTGTCAAGTGATCCAGGAGCAAGAAGAACACTGACGGCTGGGACACCTGAGATGTTTACAACGTTCTGAAAGAACATGACATTCCGGTTACTTTGATAATTTTATTGACCTGTTTCTTCTCATAACTATGAAATAAAACAACACACCAAAAGTAGCATCTTATCCCAAAGTCTCCATTCAGTTGATGGCCTCAGAAGCCACGAGAAGAACTTATAGCACGGAATAACCACTATGTAGACTCAGGTTCACGTTCTGCCCAGCCCCCAGCCCCCAGCCAGTACCTAACCTTGCTGCCCACCCCAGGACCCCCACCTCTCGGCCAGTCTCATTTCTCAGCGGCTTTTCCCACTGGTTCACGCCGGGACTGTCCCTCGGGGGGGGGGGGGGGGGTGCAAGACTGAGCCAGAGCAGTGCAGTACAGTCTGGTTCCATCACCTCCGCCAGCCAGCAAGTCAGAAAATCATCCAATCTTTTGTCTCTACCATTTTCTCCTTCTCCTTTCTTCAAATCTTGTTGCTTTCACCTTCACATAACAATGGATTCAGTGTCCATTAAAATGCCTGGGTGGCGGTTTGAGCCTCACATACTTTCCTGAGCTAAAAGGGAGGAAACGAAGTACCTCTGTGGCCTTCCTGCCATACAATCAAGGGAAAAGGGAAAAGCACTACTGGTAAGGGTAGCGCGAGAAGCCATATAGTCCCCTCCCGCCCCCACGGAGGTTTCTCTAGCGCTAGCTCTTAAGGGTGCAACAAGGCAGATATTCTGGGGTCAAGGTATCATGGGGGAAACTCATTTATTTCCCCCTTTTGAACTTTCCTGCTGCACCAGTCTTTGCCTTCTTCTTAGCGGGTCCCTTGGATGCCGGCTCCTTGCGCTTAGCTGAAGAGAGCGAGCCGGTCACCTTGAAGAAGTCATCCAAGCGGCCCTGGGTGCTGCCCTGGCGGCTCTTGCTCAGTCGCTTGACCCCACTGCGGATCCGGTCCTCGGAGAACTGCTTCTCACCGCACATGAACTTGACAAGTTCCTCTTCATCTGGCTCGCTCCACTTCAGCTCCACCGACTCGGGGTCCAGCACCTCGGGGTCCAGGAAGAGTTGCTGGGCCTCCTTGTGGAGCCAATTTTCTGGCACAGGGTACTTGTTGGGGTCGAGTCGACGCACAATCTCCTCGATGCTCTTGTGCTTCTGGATGAGGTCCACAGCGCGCTTGGGCCCGATGCCCCGAATGCTTTCACAGTAGTCACTGCCCAGCAGGATGCACAGATCCACAAACTGCTCCTGGTTCAGGCCCAGCTCCTGCAGAATCCGGCTCAGGTGGAATTCCTGGATCGGCAGCTTCTTGGCTTCACTGGCCGTCAGGTGCCGCATGAGCACAGGGCTACCGAAGGTCAAGCAATCCATGTCCTCTGTGGCCGCGGCATAGACTTTGCCGGCTTTCACCAGGGCGGCACAGCTGGCCTCGGCTTCACTGGGTGCATCCAGATACGGGATGCCCATGAGGCTCAGCAGATGCTTGCACTCATCGTTGTGTTGCTTGGTGACCTTCACCAGCCGCTTGGTGAACTTCTCCACCTCCTCCTCGGCCCCAGCAGCCTGAGCCTGCTGCAGCTGCTTCTCCGCCTCAGCCCGCCGCTCACTGCGCTTGGCCAGCTCACCTGACTTGAGCTGCGGCGGCTTGCCGTCGAAGACATACACGGGCTTGATGCCGTTCTCCATCATGCGGATGGTGCGGTAGAACATGCCCATGAGGTGGCTGGTGGTCTCCCCCTCCTCGTTCTGCAGCACGTCTCCGCCCTGGCGCACGGCAATTAGGAACTGATAAATGCTCATGGAGGCATCGATGGCCACCTTGCGGCCAAAGTAGCTCTTGATGTCATTCTCTCGGATGGCACCAGGGGCCACATCAGCAATCAGTTTGGCCAGGCCTTGAATTCCCATAGCAACAGGAGGGCTGGCTTAAAAAAAAAAGGGGGGGAGTGCACAGTAAGATAAGGAGGCGCATAAAGGATAAGAAAGGAGCAAGGGCCACGCTGGTGCTATTTCACCAACTTCACGCCTTCAGCTAAACAAATTTAACACAACATAAAGAACAGCAGGTCAGCGAGGCGGAGGATGAAAAGGTGAAGAAGAGTTTCCCATTTACCAAGAAACTTACAGCTTAGCAAGGGAATTCACCAAGTTAACACTAAGGTTCCATGCATATCAGAAGCAGAACTGGGTACTAACAGGCACTAGATGCTGCGGGTGTGCTCGAGGGATTAAAGTTTCGTACATGGGGCCTGCCTGGTGGTGCAACGGGCTAGAGCACAGCACACAAAGCTAGAGGCAGCTGCTTCAGTGAGTGAGGGATCCCGGCCCCGGAGCTGACCACATGGCGCGGCAGACCTCTCCTGACCTGCCCGCTGCTCCCCTCGGCAGGATACTCTGTCCCTGGTGAATCCCCTTACCACCCTACACCTTTGGCCTGTACCCCAGTTCTATATGCATAAATAAAAAAATCTAAAAAAAAAACCTGTACATGACACAAAAGCTCCAAAGCGCAAGCAAATACCAGTGAAGCAAAGATGAGGCGAGGCAGGTACAGAGCATAACCATAGGCGAATGTGCAAAGGGAAACAAATCTCGCCACCCACGTGCCCCTCTGGGAACACAGTCCCTTTAAACCCCTCACGCACACCCCCAAGTACCGTGGGTAATCACACTAGCCCCGTGTGGCTGTGAAGGCCTGGTAGGGCGGCTCCCAAAGGCCACCCCAATGTTCAGGAGGCTCCCTCCCATGGCGGGCCTTCTCCCATCTGCCAAGCAAAAGCTGAGGTTGCCAAAGAAATTCTGCCTCAAGAGTAGCGGCAGCACCGCAGGAGCTGCCGGCCAGCCAGCCACCATCGCTTGAACCCGCTGCTGCGCTCCGCTCCCGTCTTTCCTGGCACTGAGGCATTTCTACCTCCACCATCATGTTGCTTGGGAGCTTTGTCTTCCCTTCATCTTTTCTCTCCACCGCTAAGTATCAATAATGAATTCCATGGCTTCTACCCAAGCTCAGGTGCTGACCTAGGGGCCTGGCATGCCCTAGTCACCCAGCCCAGAACTGGGGTTCAGGCCCCTCAAAATGCTTCCTAAGGTAGTGTTGGCCGCACCACCCACACACCTTCCGCTACTTCCAACTAAGACCTGTACTTGCAATTTCCTTGACCTGCTTTTAAAGAGTCAAATTGGAAAAACAAAAACAAAAAAACCACCACCTCATCTGAAGCAGTAATATCTGTTATATGTTCAGATGTGTTAACTATTTCAAAAGTACTTCTGGGGTGCTGCTTAAAAAGTCACCGCCAGCAATGCACACACACTGCCTGCCCCCCTCGCGGGTTTTTCCATTGACCTCGTTACCTTCTTCTAATGATTAGGTGCAAACGCCCCACCTGGCATCAGGGCTTCCACACCCCGGTCCCCAATTTACGGTGCCCATCGGGAAACTCAGGGGGGCGGACCTGTGCTTTCGCACGCCCCCTCCTCTGGGCCCCACCAGCGCCCCCTCGGGTCCATCTCCTGTTAGTGCCCCTGTACTGGGCGGCGGCCTCCAACCCTGCGCCAGCTGTCGCCATCTGGGTGGCAGCACTAAGGCACCGGGTGGGCGACCAGACGGGCCGGTGAACCCGGTTTTCTCCTCTGCAAATGAGGCTCCAGAAGGGCTGCCCGGGCGACGGGATCGGAGATGCACAACTCCCGACACAGACGCAGGGGCCCGGGGACGTCCCCGTCCCAGACCCCACTCGCTCCCACTCGCACGCGTCCGGCTGGCTGCTCTGCCCCTCGGCAGGTCCACCCGGAGCACGGTCCCCCTCGTCGGCCGCTTACGCTCCCACCGCATTCCTCCGCGGCGCGCAGGGCAGCGTGAAGCTTAAAAACGCTTCTCATCCTGGCCCCTGAGACACAACGACCCAAGGAGGGGAAGCTCCGGTCCTCTTTCCGCCCCAAGGCAGAGGCTCGGGCTCCCGCACCCGGCGGCCCAGGGCCGGGGGCGGGAAAGTGGCGGGACCGCGCTCTCGCCTCCGCTCGGTGCCAAGCAGCAAGCAGCGCGAAGGCGGCCGAGACGCTCTCCCAGGCGCGTCCCACGGGCTCTCACCTACCTGGTCTCTAAGGCGCGAGACTCCGGACGTTGGCGCTCGGTCAGTGCTGCTCCCTCTTCAGTGCGGCCGCGGGTCTCTCGCTTCACCGCCTTCAGAAGCCCGCGCTCGCGTCACGTGACCCGCCACCGCGCACAGCCTCCTGGGGAATGTGGTGCAGCCCCCAGCCCTCTCAGCCCGCTTCTCTCATGGAGAGGTGTCCTGCGAGAGTCATCCGCCTCTGTCAGCGAACCAATCCTCCTCGTGCCCACTTCTTGCCCTCAACCCACACCAGAGCCCCCGCGGGCCCCTGCTATAGGGGCCCCCGAAGCCGCAGGACTACAAGTCCCACAATGCCCTTCCGCAGGCGCACTTCCCCTTCCGGCTAAACAGCGCCTGCTCCTGCCGACGTGTTCTTCCGGCGCGGAGCGGCGGACGACCCTGTGGTCGGCAGAATGGTGAGAGGGTCGAGGGGGAGTTCCAGATCGGGCAGTGAGGATGCCTCCTACCTGACCCACAACGCACTTCCCTCGCAAAAGCTCCAGACGCCCGAGATCCGGAGGCCAGAAGGCTCCTGGGCCCTCCGCTTGAGCTGAGGAGTGGGGGGGAGGGAAGCTCCTGGCCATCCATGGACGCCTTAGCGTGAGATTTTGGTCTCCCTGGACTCTCATCTCGCCATTTATAAGCGTGCCCCTCACTCTTGGGCGTGGGGCATTTTTCACGTCTCAGAGCTCTTAAATCTGTTACCTGTGACCAAGCCGTAATCTCTGTCAGGAATGCTCTCCCCCCACCCCTGCTCGGGTTCATCTTACGACGCCCCTGGCAAATGTCGCCCCCCTAGGAAAGCGCTTTCAGCCCTCGCGGCCGCTTGGCCTGGGAGCTCTCTCCTGGGAGTCCCGCAAGCTCATTACAGACCTCTTGCCACGTTCCTTGGATTTCTTTGTTATCTGTCACGGCTCCTAGAGACCACCATCTGACGTGCCTCCAGCCCTGGGCTGATGTCTATTCATCTTTGTGTTCTCAGGGCCAAACACAGGGCCTGCAATCAGGCTCAATAAATGACAGCCATTGTCTTTATCATGGGGGGCGGGGGGAGGACGATTCATGTTTACTGAACTGAATTCCAGTGTCTCCTAGAACAATGGGGTCAATTTACTTTTCCTGAGTTGTTAGGTTCCGGGTTTTGGAAGCAGTGGCTGGTGGGTGACAGTGGAAGTTAACATTTTTACAGAACTTGTGGCTCACAGCCCTCATTCACAGGCATTATCTCAGTCCCCTGTCACCTTAGGAAGGAAGCACACACCTGTTGAGCCTGAGGAGTAAGCCAGATGCTTGTACATTAGCATAAATCGCCCTGCGGCCCGAGTGGTAGATGTTACAACAGTTTCCTGAGACTCAAGGTAGCAGAGCCGGAATTCTAACTGATGCCTGTCCCCAGACGCTGTAGTAGTGTATTAGGGAGAATTCAGAATTGGCACTCGAGCGCCAGATCCTGGCTCAGGCTCTGTGACTTGCAGCATTCTTAGCCGGTGTCCAAAGACATGGTCACGTGAAGCTCCTAAAAGTTTCGACAGATTTTTTTTTCACATGTTCTTCCCACCAGAGTCCCTCCGTTGCCTCCTTTTTTGGTCATGGTGTCAGTGACCTCAGAAATGTTAAGGAACTTGTGTCTCAATTACCCTTCTTGTTCTGTATTGAAAAGACAAAGCGCCGCCATAGTTGAAGATGCAGCTGTAGCTGTGTCATTCCCAAACCGAATCCCTTGGCGTCATCCTAAAGGATGCCCATGTGTCCCGGCCTGAAATAGGCTCTAGCAGTTACAGCGGCAAGAGGCTCTATGATACCCCATGTTCTCCCCGGGATGACGTTTTGATGGCTCTCATCTCATGCCCTCCCCCAGGAGCTCGAGGCCATGAGCAGATACACCAGCCCGGTGAACCCGGCTGTCTTCCCTCATCTGACTGTGGTGCTGTTGGCCATTGGCATGTTCTTCACGGCCTGGTTCTTCGTGTATCCTTTCGCTGCATGGACAGTGGGCCAGAACTAGTGACGTGACAAACGGAGACCCGGGCTGGGGATGTGAACCTTGCTGGTGTTCTTCTGTGGGGAGGGATTAAGAGGGTCGAGGAGAGACCCAAGATCAGGTTGCAGCCTGTTTTCCATGTTCAGCTGAGTGCAATTTGCTCTTCAGATTTCCAGGACATAAGCAGAGGACCTGGCAAGACTGGAGACTGGGGAAGTGGGGGTGTCGGGAGAGAAGCGGGCTCCAGTGGCTGCATCACTCATTCTGTGTGAGGCTCAGAGCAGTGATGAATCTGTCTGGGCCTCATTTTCTTCTTGAGTGTGGGCACTGTGGAGTCCAGGTCATCTCCTGGGCCCCTCTGCCTGACCTCTGGAACTGCGTCAGCCTGGCAGCCTCCTGCACAGTCCATGCCTTTGCTTAACTGCCCTGCTAGTTACGAGGTCACCTCCACCAAGTACACGCGGGACATCTACAAAGAGCTCCTCATCTCCCTGGTGGCCTCGCTCTTCATGGGCTTTGGCGTCCTCTTCCTGCTGCTTTGGGTCGGCATCTATGTCTGACCGCCCACAGGTAAGAGCTGAGATAGGGAGGCACGCCAGAGCAGCCTCCCCACACTGGCGTCAGTTGACTTGGTTAATGGAGGCGGCTCAGCAGAAGAGACGCTTCTGTCCCTCGTGGGGATTTGGGCCTCCATCTGGTGTTAGGCTTGGACCAGCCTTCCCAGGGCCACACACCCGGGAAGACCCCGAGGGTGAAGTCTCCTCTCATACGTCCCTGACTTGGAGATGCTTCGGACGTGGGCCAGGAGGGCTCGGGAAGTGGGACTTACAGCTCACTGCGAGTTGTGTGCACCAGCTCGGACAGTGGCGTCAGGCATCGTCCTGCGTCTTCACTGAGTGATTTAAAAAAACACACACAAATCTACCAGGCAGGTCCCTGAGAATGGACGGGGGCAGCTTGTCAGAACAGAAGGCACTGGTCTCGCGCTGATACCCCTCTCCTCTTGCAGGTTCCTACCAGGCGGCCTCACGGAATCCCTGCTTTTGTAAATTAATTTTTTTACTATTGCCAGAAGTGTCCCCCACTGTTGCTCGCAATAAAGTCAGATGACCCGGTGCAGTGCCCATTCTATGAGGGCGGCCGACCCGCGTGGCTCCCCAGCCCCTGCCCCGCATCCCCTCTGCGCCGGAAGCCCCGCTGTCCCACTGAGGGGTGTGTGTGAGGGTGTCTGTCTTGTTTTCCAGGACAGACTCGAGTGGGCGCCCCATTAAACTAGCCGGACCAGCCCTCTCCTCCATGCGGCTACCCCTCTCTGCAAGACTCCCCTAAGAAGCCTTTGCCCTACTTGTAGCCCCGGCAGGGCCGGCAGCAGCAGACCAGTGGGAAGCGGGGTGCGCCTGGGGTTGCCGAGTCCTAGTCCCAAGCCTCGCATGATGCTAAGAAGGGTGACGGGGACAAAGCGTCCATCTGGCTCAGGGCCCCCCGGGAGTCCAGTTGGTGCAGGCCCATGGCGACTCCGTCTCCCACCATCACAACCTCAAGAACAGGTGGGGAGGCAGACTCAGATACAAAGCAGTATTTATACATTTATTTATATATGTATATTTCAGAGGAAAAGAACAGTTCAGCAGGCAGCAGGCAAGCCTCCGCCCGCCTCAGCATCAGAGTGGGTACACGATAAATATGAGTCACCGCTTGGGGATAGGGCTGGGAGTTAACTGGGAGTGAGGGGTGCTCTAGGCACACGCTGGCTTTTAGGGGGACATAATGTGGGCGGGGGGGGGCCTGGGCAGCTAGACGCCCTATGTACAGCTTGAAGCTTAGGGGAGATCAGCCCGGTGGCTGAGGGGATAAGAGGAGGAAGGGACAGGTGGCTGGACCCCGAGTGGGGGCCAGAGCCAAACACCCACTCACCAGCCCCGGCTGCCTGGGCCCTGGCTGCCTGGGCCGTGTCTGCCTCCAGCAGGGGCCACTCACCTTCCTGGAAGCCCTTTGACCTTACCGGGCTTAAGGCAACTTTGGTCCGAGATTGACGCCTTAGAGCAGCTTGGAGCCGCAGCTGGGCCCCGCCCCTGCACTGAGGACCTCCCCAGGCATGGAAACAGCCAGCTGCTCACTAGATTGGGGCGGTGCTGTGTGCACTTGGGCTCCAGGGAAGGGGGAGGGGGAGGGTCACTTTCCAGTAAAAGACTGAGGGGCCATAGTCCAGGGGCTCACTCCCCACTGAGGAAGCCCCCACGATCCTAATCACAAGGGCCAGGACAGGTTGTTGAAGGCCTTCTAGGGAGGGTCCCCAGGCGGGAGGAGGACAAGCAGTATCCTAAGGCTCGGCCTTCTGCCCGGTGTGGGAGGCCAGGCAGTTCCTAGGTCAGGATGAGGGCGTGGAGGTACACTGAGGAGGCTGGGGTGGGACCCCTGGGGTTCCTATCCTGAGGATAAGTGCTTTGAGAGCCAGGGCAGGGGGACCCGCAGTTCATAGGCTCCTTCGAGATTTAGCTCCTCCCCCAACAGCCTCCCGTCCAGAGTGGAGACGGGGAGGTAGCAAGGCAAGGCCGGTTCCCAGAAAGGGCAGCGTCGCCCAGAAGGGCGGCAGTTCCTGCCCACGTTGGAACCCACAGCAGCCGTGACCCCGTGATTTCCACATCTGCGGGCCAGGACGTGGCTTTAGGTTGCCCAGACAGCCACGAAGGAAGGTTCGCGGGGCCACTGGACCTGCCCTTCCCCTAAGCCAAGCCTACTGCTCCCCTCCCAGGAGCGGCCGAGGGCCCTTCTAGCTTGGCTGTCCAAGCTTGATTTGGGGAGACAAGGCCACCAGCAGACAAAAGCTGGGGGGATGCCAGAGTCCTGCTGGGGGGGCAGGTGGGAGGCATGGCTCCAGGCTCCCTGGGTCAGCTGAGTTGGGCCTTGTCCTGGGTGTGACAGCCCCAGGCCACTCTGGCTTCCATCCTGCCCGCCTGCCCTGGCTCAAGTGCATTTAGTCATCACTCCGTCACTAATGGCGGGAGCTCTCCACCCGCCACCCCGACACCAGCCTGCCTTGCAGGGATTCCTGCTCCTCTGCTCAGGAAATGGTGGGTCCCCTCCATGGAGCCTCTGCAGACCTAAGCTGTGGGACTGCACCACCGTCTGGGGATTCCAGGGGACTCCAGGTTCAAGGGTGCGAGGCTTACCTGGCCCAGTGGCACCTACTGGTTCAGCCAGGCACTAGGTGTCTGGTTACATGGTCAGTCTCCAACTCACCGAGGGCCGGCTTCTGCTGCCCCAGGGGCTCATGCGGACTCAGCTCTCCCAGGGGGAAGAGACCTCCTGGGCCTCGTTTAAAGCTGAGAAGTCCAAGTCCAACGTAACAGTCAAACCCTAAAAAAGTCTGCTACCTTGCCCTCCACCCCACCCTGGGGAGCAGCTTCAAGGATGGGGGCATCTGCCCTCCACTGACGGGGGTCCAAGCCAAGTCTCTTAGTGCGAAATGCAAGACCCCTGTTGATTTCTGAAGTCCACTCTCCAGATGAAGGGTGCTTCCAGTCTCGGGGGCAGGAGCAGCTCCTGCACGCACAGACCTCTCCTTGCCTCCGGGGCCTGAATCCAGCCCTCCAACTGAGGAGCCGGACAGGTGTGAGCTGGGCCTGTGCCGCCCCAGAGGGGCCTCTCCAGCTCCACCAAGGGGGTAGGTGCCGCCAGCAGGAACAGCAGCTCCAGTGTGAGGACTTCCAGTTTCTCCAGTCAGGGGGAGGGCCGAGCCCAGCTCAGTCTCTCCGAGGGAGTTCCAGTGAGCGGAGAGAGCTGGGGGCGGGGCTCTAGTGGAACACCTTTGCATCCAGTGTGTGGAGTGGCTCCTGGGGCCCAGGGCCCTGCTGCACAGCTGCCTGGGGGCAGCTCAGTCACACAGGCGGTAGAAGTGGAAGTAGTAGTCTGCGGCTGGCCGGCCCAGCGCCTCCGAGCTGCAGTTGGCCTGACCCTGGGCCGAAGGCAGTGCGGAGGGGTCAGGTGGCTCTGGTGGCGCAGGGCAGGAGGCACGCCCCTGCCGATGGCACCAGACACTGCCCCGTTCCTGCCCGGAGCACCACAGATGGTTCCTGCTCCTCCCCCAGCCCCACACTGAGACACAAGTCGGAGCGGAGGCCGTAGGAGGCAGAGGGGATGCCCATGCTTACCAGCAGTGCCACTCGGAAGTGGTAGGTGAATTCGCGGAAGGACAGGATGGTTACTGGCCACTGGTGGGAGGTGCCCTGGAGAGAAGGGGGCAGGTCAGTGGCAGCCCTCGCCAGAGACACGCAGCTGTGACTCCCGGAGGGTTTATGACAGGGAAAAGCAGAGGGCATTTTAGAGAGGCCAGAGTGGGCACGTGTGCTTTGAGGAACTGGCAGGCAGCCTCTGCTGGTACCTTAGTGCCAGCGTCCTTCCCTGGCCACTGTCTCCCTGCTTCCTCACCCACAATCCTCGAGGCACGCCTGTCAGCCCCACCCTCGCTACAGCCCGCTGAGGGTGCTGTCAGCATATGAGCAGGAGCGCCAGTGGCCTGCAGGTGTGTGGCAGAGTGGGGTTCAGGCCCAGTCTGGCCAGCGCTCTTCCTGGCAAGGGGTGCGAAGCCAGCTGCCTGGACTTGTACAGCTGAGCCTTGGCCTCTCTGGAGCACATGGTTCAAACCTGGTCTCCACTGCCAACAGGCCTCAGGCTGCCTTCCTTTTCTCTGGCACCCCAAGGTCTGCCTGGCCTCTTCGGGCTCTCACCCAGGCTGTCCTCTACAAGAGTTAATTTCTGTAGTGTTTTCTCTCTATGCGCATCCCTGGATGCTGGGCCCACTTCACCTCTGTCTCTCAGTGGGGTGCAGCCCAGGTCTGGGACAGAGAATGGGTGAGAAGAAATTCCCCTTCGTTTGTGCTCAGCCTCCTAACTGCAGGCCACACAGCTGAGGGGGAGCTGGGCAGTGATGAGCCCCAGCCATTTGGTCCCCTGAGTGTGGGTTCGTCTTCGACATGTGGATCTTCCCCCCATCATAAAGGGACCTCCAGACCTGAGCCAAGGTCCAGGTTTCTGCCTCCTACCTCAGCATTCACCCTTCCACGGTGTTTCACCTCCAGAGCTCCCCTACTCCTGTGACTCGCCCCCTTTACTTTCCCCAGCTGACTGCAAATGGTCCTCAAGTCTCAGACATGACTTTGGGTGAGACTGGGAGGCTGCAGGTGATGGCAAAGGGGAGGACAGACTGGAGGCCACAGGTCAGCTCTCCTTGCCCAGGACACCTGAGGCCAGGCTTCGTCCTCAGCTGTGAGGGCGGTCACAGCCGAGGCAGGACTGTGAGAGCCCAGACCCTGGTATGTTTCTTATGGGGTAACTGCACATTGAAACTAGCTCCCCTCCTCACTGGTTTGGGGGCTCATTTGTGTCAGGCGAGGAGGCCCAGACACGCCTTCCCCAGCCTCTCAGCCACCCCTACCTGGGTGTCCTGGTGGTTGTGGAGGCCCTGGGGATGGCCCCCCTCTTCGCACGGCTCCGCCTCTGACATCACGCCGCACAGCACCACAGACACAGGGGCCGAGGAGCTGGGGAGAGGCCCAGTTAGCAGGGAAGTGGGGCCCGGAGCCTCCGCCCTGGCCCCTGACACTGCTCTCCCCGAAGGAAGCAGGCGGCCCCCTGCCCTCCCCGGCCACCAGCCCACACGCCTGTGAGGCAGCAGCTCTCTTGGGTGAAGAACTGGAGTCCAGAGCTTGCCAGGGTCACAAGACCAGTTAAGCACAGAACAGATGGCAACATTTGCATCCCCCCCTTTGTGCCTAGGCCCAGGGCAGCTCCCACTCCCCACGCCGGTACTCACTTCATCTGCAGGGTCAGGCTGAAGTGCAGTGGGGTGCTGCTGCTGACAGGGATATGGTAGGTGACGTTTCCAGGCCTGAAAGGACAAAGCTGGCTCTTTAGCCAAAGGCCACCCTACCAACCCCCCCCCCCCCATTCTCCTCAGGCCCCAATCTAGAACAGCCCATCAAGGCCTGGAAAGGGGCTGCCTGAGGGAGCAAGATCTGGGCAGCTGTACTGCCTGGGCCAAGCCCACCTGCAGGCGTCCCCTGGAGCGCAGTACTGGGAGGTGATGGGCATTGAGTTCTCCAGCACCTGGATGGAGGTCAGGGAGGGCTCTGGGTCTGCAAGTAGAGAGGCTGAGTGGCAGGGAGGAGGGGACAAGGCAGGACGCAGCCGAGTCTCCTCACTGTGCTTGGGTCAGTCGCTCACACTTGAGTATAAGCTTCAAGTTGCTCTTTCCAGTCCCCCACAACGGCTGGGGCCACACCACCTACTTCCCCAGAAGCCCAGAGACTGGTCAGTGTCCATGAACCCGAGGTCTGAGAACCAGGAGTTCTGGGCCCAAGAACGGGTCTTCCACGTCCCTGCTCGCGTAGAGAGCGCTTCGGCCTCTCCCTGCTGGCGCCCATCTCGTCCCGACTCAGTTCATCCAGGTTGGGATTTTCAGGTCAGCCACAGTGGGAGCAGTCACAGGTCAGGGCCCCGGCCCCACCGGCCCTCAGAGCCACTGGTTAGATATGTATAAGCTGCCACGGCCGAGGCCCCGCGCTGAGCGGCCTGCCCAGACGCTGGCTGGGTGGGGACTGAAGTGTGACCCTGGGTAGGGGAGGCTTAAACCTACAGGCTTGCTGACCGCACCCTCCCTCCCTCCCCCAGGGGCAGCTGGGGTCACTGGCCACTGAACGTTGGCTGGAGCTGGTATATTTTCACATGTCCCACAGCGCAGGCACCGCACCCAGGAACCCCAGCTGGACCCAACACACCCGTTCTCATACACAGACCAGATGGAAGGGGCCTTTCCCACTTTGAGACAAACAGCTACAGTCCTTCAGAGACTGCTCTGATGCCACCCCCTCCGGGGAGCCCTCCCCAATTACCACCCGCCTCAGCCTGGCCCGGCGCCCTTGCCAGTCAGCCTGCTACCTAAGATCCCCACACAGGCTCATCGTGCTGCCGTGTTTCTGTGTCTGAGAGCTCCTGGGCCAGGGGCGTGTCTCTTCATTACCCCGAGTGCCCTGCATGAGACAGTCGAAGCAGCAGCTCAGGAAACAGCTGCCTGGAGAACAGCTACCCTTTCTGGGGGTTCCCCATCACCTTGAACTTCAATCACGGCAAGCCAGTTTTTTAAGGTTTTGGGGTTTTCCGCTTTACACCGCAAAAGCCATCCGGTGGAGGCGGGTGAGGCGGCCTGATACCTGACGCGGGGCTGCTAGTCAAAGCCAGGAAGGCTCCTGGCCTCTTCACCTGCCGAGCAGCCCACACAGCAGCGCCGGGAGCCCAGTTTGAAAACTACCACAGTAACGGTTCTCTAGCTGTGTGAAATCCAGAAGCTTGAGGTTTGAAAAACTCGAGGGGACCCTGGGGCGCACCCTGGCACCCTGGGGGCCAGTTCCAGCGCTGCAGTTCAGGCTGTGCCACCCTGGGCAAGTACTTCACCCGGCCTGTCTTGGAACAAGGGCCAAGACATTCTTGCAGGAATGTCAATGGGACTATCTACCTATGGCTTCTGCCTGACCCTTGGACATTCCAGTAAGTCCTGATTTAACCACGAGGTTTCTGAGAACTCAGGGCTGCAAGCAGAGCGGAAACAGTCAAAGCAGATGCTCACACAACACTGGCTGTTGACATCAGCCAGGGTTGTTACCCACGTTGACGCCGCGAATGCCACGGAAGGAAAGGGTGCCAGGCCCGCTGCACTGGCTCAGCAGATAGACACCTGCTGGCTGGCAGTTCTGTACCCAGACCTTGCCCTGAAATGGGCCCAGGTCAGTGGTTGGCTGGGCTGAGAGGTGTAGGGGGCAGGACCAGTACCTGGCTGGCCCCAGTCCCGAGTGGGCTGGGCAGGGCCCAGGCTGGGCTGAGGGACCCCTCGGCGGGTCCGGCCATGGAGACCAAGGCTGGGGCTGTTCTTGGCTTTGCCTTGACCCCCAGGGAAGGGGACTGCAGGGCTGGCCACAGGCTCCAAACTCTTTGGATGCTTGGAGTGGCCAATGCCATTGGCTGAGAGGCCCCAGGACTTGGCTCTGATGTTGGTGACCGGCAGCAGGGCCATCTGGCTGGGGCCTGTGGATAGAACCAGGACAGGCTGACGAGAGAACTGGCTGTCTCCTGCCCAGCTGTCCCCAGTGGACTTGGGTGATGCCCATCCGTCCCTTGGTCCCCTCAGGGAAACCCAGCCTCTCCCGAGTTAACTCTGCGTCCTAGGAGACCCAGCCACTAACCAATCAGCCTTTAGGGCCCCCTACCTCAAGATAACCATACCTGAGTGGTTGGTAGAGGGACTGGGAATGTGGCCAGGGTGCAAGCTGGTGCCAAGACCTGGGTCGGTGGTGGGTTTGGGGGTGGGCGAGGAGCAGCAGATGATGGGACAGAACTGGCTGAAGCACAGGTCCAAGGTGCGGAGGGCTGGCCCTGGGGCCAGGCTGGTGGGAACTGAGGAAGCCAGAGGCTGCATGAGTCAGAGTGGGGTGGGGTGGGGGTTGGCGGAGCACAGCTGTGTGTCCCGCATCCCACCCCCAGGCCCACAGGCACGCACCCAGCAGCAGAGAGGGCCGTGTGCCTGGCAGCCCAGCCATCCCAGGGGACTGTCGGCGCTCAGTGGTCCCAAAGCTCTGGCTGAACCTGCTGGGGAAGCATGAGCTGAGCTCAGGGCTGGGTCAGCCTGAAGGGGGCGCCTGGGCATCCCGGAGAAGCCCGAGGGGCAGGAGGAGGTGGACAAGGATGGTGTGGACAAGGATGGCGCAAAGGAGGCAGGAAGAGGCAGAGGCCAGAGGAAGGGCTGTCCAACACGTACCATGGGCACATGGCCTCACTCCCCCCAGGGTCCTGGGGCCGGAGCAGGGCCAGAAGACAGGAAGTGGACGCAGCAAAAGAGCTAGGGCAGCAAGGAGGAGAAGGAGGGGACAGGTGCAAGGGGGGAGAGAGAGAAGACAGTCAGAGGTGGCCCCAGGGGCTGAGGGTGACAGTGGGCACACAGAGCCCAGGGCCCCAGCCTGGCTCTTCTTTCTGCCCGCATCCCACCCTGGGCACTCCAGCCCCGACCCAGTGGCCCAGCTACCTTGGGGGAACGCTAGGCAGAGCAGGAAGCAGCATCAGCTTCAGCAGGGCTGCCTGCCCTCCAGAGACCCCCACCTGCCCCTGCCCCCCACAGGCTGAGAGCCTGAGGTGAGGCTCCAGGGGAGAGCCTCCGGGGCTCCTGGCCCGCGCCCTGCCTGGCCCAGCAGGCACCAGGCCTCCAGGGACATACCCATCCGTCTCTACCACGTCCTCCTCGGTGCGCAGGCTCAGCACGTACAGGGTGGACATGGACACCACGCTGGGAGCCACAGGAGAGGGCCACGGTTAGAGCTGGCATCACCACCCAGCGCCCTCACCCTGGGGAGCTGCCTCAGAGGCGGGTTCCCGGGTGATGCCTGTAGAGGGCTCTCCCCAGCCACCTGGGTCAGAGTGTTGCTCCTCCCCGGGCCGGAGCCCCAGCTAGCACCCCAGAACGTGGAGTGTGAGTCACCTGAAGGCCATGACCACCACCAGGGCGACGATGGTCCCCTGCAGGAAGCGCTGGCTGATGCAGGCCTGGTCTGGGGCCACAGAGGATGACTGTGGGCCAAGAGGAAGAGCAGAAGAGTCGGACTTTGGTGTCCCGAGATCACCACTGTGGGCTCTACTGAAGGTGGGGTGCTGTGGTCTGATTATTCCTCCCGGGGGCCCGAGACTAGCCGGGGAGGGAAGTGAGCCCAGAGAGGCGTAAGCTGCCAAGAGGAGGAGCCTCCCTCCAGCCCAACCTGCCTCCCATCCTTGCCTACCCTCACCTTGCTGGCCATCTTGGGGGGCCTCTTTTTGTGGGGGACACTGCCTGCCCGGCTGAACTGGCTCCCGGCATGGCTGCAGCAAGAGGGCCAGGATCAGAGGTGCCTCCGGGAAAGGGAGCTTGCCGTCCCCCGCCCTGCGCCCCCACCTGAAGGCGCCCGAGCTGCCGGTGGACTTGAGGCTGTCCAGTCGCCGCAGCTTGGCCAGCTTGTGGCTCCAGCGCTCCAGCTCGTCAATGCGCGTCTCCAGGTTGTCGGTCAGCTTGCACAGCTCCTTCACGGCACCCACGTTCTCCATGAAGATGCGCTCCTGCGAGGGCCCGGGCACAATGTTGAGGCACGGGCGCCCCCGGGTGCCCTCCAGCTCCCTCCCCAGGCCAGCCTCGCCTCCACGGCTGCCTCCACATCCCCGGCTCACAGGGTCTGTCTCCCAACTGGTGGGCCTGCACCTCAGAGTTGAGGCCATGCCCCCTGGCGCCTAGCTTCACCCTCATAATAAACCTTGGTTCATGCAGTAACCTCTGTGGGGCTTCTCAGCAGTTACCCTCCTGCAGGAGCAAACGGCCCTCTATGCCTCGAGCACATGGCATGGAGCAGCAAAACCCGCCCCCCCCCCCCACACACACCTTGAACAACCCTCTTTCCTCTGGGGGGCTTTGGAGGATGCATGAGGGAAGACTGGTTTGCTCCTGCCTTCCACACTTCAGTGCTCCCAGTCTCTATGGGAAGGGGAAGCTCCTCCGTTTAGCCCACGCTTCCACCCTTGGGGTCCCTCCAATTGCCCCAAGCCTGCAGACCTTGTTTACCACCAGGAAGTTCTCTATGGTTTTCCCATTGGCAAAGGTCACATCTCCAGAGTCCTTCACCGCCTCAGGCAGGATCTCCTTCACCTCTTGGGCGATCACACCTGGGGCGAGACAAGCCAAAAGTGTGTGTGTGTGGGGGGGGGGGGACTGCCCACAGGGCGGGAACTGGGGAGAGGCAATGGAGACTAGAGATTTGGTTTCCAACAAGGATGGGGGGGGGGGCGGGGCTCTCCCAAGACACAAGCCACAGTTGGGGTGGTAAAGGGAGATCTAAGATGTGGGGTTTCCATCTGGGAGGTGGGGCTGATTCCTGGGAGTTAGTCAGGAGAAGGGGGAAGAGAACCAGGAGGTTGAACGCTCGGTTCTTCTAGAAGGCCAGGGGGCAAGTGCGTGATTTTCTAGGGGTTGAGGTATAGAGCTTCTAGATGGCAAGATTCCGGGGATCAAGGTGAGGGGCGCCTGGGAGCAGGGTTTCCAGGGACCTGGCCAGACTGCTAAAAGAGGGGACTCTGGGGGCGGGGTTATGGGCTCCTGCCCCCAAGTCCCAGCCCATGCCGGCAGGCCCCTACCGGTTTCTGGGGCCGTGGTCTCAATGCCCGCGCAGGCTGCAAACTCTGGCTTGTATCTGTAGTGCACCAGCCTCATGCGCGAGATACGCTTCAGCTGCTCCGTGGTGTCCACCTGCGGGAGAGCCAAGACCCAGACTGAACTGCTGCAGGGGGCACGCTCAGAGTAGGTCAGTCGGAGCAGGGCCGTCCACAGTCGACCCAGGAGCCCAGGAGGGCGGGACCCCAGAGGCTGCAGTGTGGAGGGGGAAACCCTGCCACGGGATGAATTGGTCCAGAGACCCAGATTGCCTCCTCCTTCCCTGAAGCCCGCCCCTCACAAGCCCCGCCCAATTTCAAGCCCCTCCCCTCGCAAAGTCCCGCCCCACGTCGGCTCCGCCCCTTGCAAAGCCCCACCCCTTGCAAAGCCCCGCCCCCTCGCAAAGCCCCACCCCCGCAAAGCCCCGCCCGCAGGCCAGCTCGCCCACCCCACCAGCCCCCCTCCCACCTCTTGCACGTGCTCCTTGGCCCGCAGGTCCGAAGGGTGCATGAGCGAGCCCATGACCTTGACATTGCCGTGCACCACCAGAGCCTCATCCGGCCGGTCGGTATTGATACCCACACGGCCATGGTGGAAGACGGTGTCGGGCACCTGAGCCCGCTGCCACAGCACGTCGCTGTCACTCTCAAACTGGCCGGGATTGGAGGCCTGGCACGATTAGGGGTGGGATCAGTCCTGGGGGTGGGGCCCTGTACGGCCCGAAAAGGGGAGACCCTGCCACAGCAGGCACCCTTCCATCTCCAACCAGGCTTCTTTACCCCACCTTCACTTAACATCACTCCACCCCACCCCAACTTACACTGCCCCGTCCACTGTGGCAACTTGCAGGCTCCTGTAGGGCCTGAGAAAACCACCAGGACTTGTCCGCTCTGCTTTACTGTGAAGGGCTCTGAGGCCCAGAGAGGCTGCGAGCCTTACTCAAGGCCACGCAGCCAGTGTCCCACAGGATCCACATTCAGTACCCCAGTACCCCAGTACTGCTCCTGGGGGCTGTTGCTCCCAGCTCTGGGGCCCTCACCCGCACGATGATGCGCTCGGAGATCTGGGCGGCCAGCGTGTAGTTCTGGTTCTGGGCATGGGCCTGGAGGGCCACCACCAGCATGAAGTACCTGGGGCAACAAGGGTCTTGGAGCCACCCAGGACCCCGCCCCACCCGCTCCTGCCCTGGCCCCCTCCCAGGTCAGGTGTCCAGAGCACAGAACTGCCCACTCAATCAATCCTCCCCCGGCGCCAGGGACTCAGCCAGTGGCATTAACACCCCTCCCGCAGGGGAGGGACCCGAGTGGCCAGCAGGGGGCAGATGCTCCCAGGGCCCAGAGGCTGTGCCTTAGAACTGTCCCTCCATCCAGAAGAGGGGTGTCCCTCCATCCGGAAGCCCCTCTTCCGCGCTCCCCTGCAGGCTCTGAGCCTCAGGTCCCTCATCTGTAAAATGGGCCTGTCTGTGACACCCTCCCGCCCCCCTGCTCTGAAACAGGGGCACCGGCGGGGTCCAGCCTGCTCACCTCTGGTCAGGGTTGGGCTTGCCCTTCTTGCGCATGTTGTTGGCGGTGGTCTCGCTGAAGTGCAGCCTCCCCACGGTCACCTTTGTGACCTGCTCAGGCGGCAGGTTGACCCTGTGGAGGAGAGGGTGGGTACTGGGGAACAGGGGAGCAAAGGGGGGGGCGGGGGCAGGGGAGGAAGGGGCAGGGGACAGGGAGTTGGGCTGTGGGGAGCCTGGCCACGGGGGATGCCCAGCACCGGAGTGTGTGGTAAGTGACCCTGCCGGGCCCTGCTCGGTGCCCCGACCAGCCCTCTGGGTCCCAAGGGGGGCGGTGATCAGGCACTCACGTGACGGGGTTGAAGGGCCGCTTGCTTCTGTCTGACTGCGACTGCTCAATGTTGATGGACTGGTTCAGGGCCTCCAGCTGCGGGAGAAGCAGAGCCCGTCGACCTCAGGCTCTGCCGTCCTGCCCTCCTCCAGCCTCAGGCTAGGCCCGGCCCAGCTACAGCTCATGAGGAAGGACTCTTGGCCTCACCTCCACACCACCCCACCTCTGCGTGAGCCCCCATGGTCACCCTCCCCACCTCTCCCCCAGCACCCACATCCTCCCCCCTCCTCTAAGCATACACCCCACAAATACTCATACCCATACCCCTCTCTTCACCCCCCACCCCTCCCCCCACCCCCCCCCCGCCACGCCCCCCCAGACCCCCCACCCCGGCACTCCCCAGCCTTCAGGGCCCTGAAGCTCAGTACACTAGGCCAGCAGGCCCCTAGGGCGGAAGTCCTGTGGATATTCAGACTAGGAGGGCAGTGGCCTGGGCGGGGAGAGGCAGAGGGGAGGAGAGGAGGGCACCTGGAAGCCTGGAAGAAGAGCAGGGCCCAGTGCATGTGAGGTGAGACTGGGCCCTGGAGTTAGAGCTTGGGTGACCAGCGCCGGGCGCCCCCATTTCTGTGGAGGAGGCCGAGGAGAGTTCAGTGTGGAGTGTGGAGCTGACGCAGTTGACAGAGGGGTGGGGAGAGGGGTCTTGGCTGGGGAGGCAGACTTGGGGTGGGTCCCAGGGAGGCGAAGGAAACAGGGAGCAGAGGAGAGGAGGGCCCTGAGGAGCAGGACATTTTAGGGGTGGGCGCTGGGAGGAAGGGGCAGCCCAAGCTGGACTTAGTCCTGAGGAGTTTCCTCACACTCACTCCACTTCAGAGTCTTTCCCTGCCCCAAGTCTTCCCGGCCCAGTTGCCCCGCCCCCGAGCCCCAAACCTGCCTTCACTCCATGCAGCTTCAGGTAGAAGCACTCGAGGGGCTTGAGGCCTTCGGGCGTCTTGACATACTTGGGCTCGCCCAGCATGCCGACGTACACCGTCACCTGGAAGTGGTTCTTCTTCTGGCACACGAAGGCGTCGTCACCCACCGAGAAGTTGAAACCTTTGTCAGCGTCCACGCGGTAGGTGAGCATGGGCCTGGGGGCAGGGGAAGGCACTCACACGAGGCCCCCGAGAGGGGCCTGGGGTGCCCCAGCCCTCCCACAGGCCTGCGGTCCAAAGCAATTCCCTTTTCCAGAACCCCCATATTCCAACCATTCGTGGAGCAGTCCCCACTTCTCAGAGACGGAAACTGAGTCCCTGAGAGGCTTTGAGCTCGGGTCTGTCAACACCTGCTTCCTCTGCATGCCAGGGGCCACCCCGGGCCCTGCTGATGGGGGAGCAGGGCAAGACCCTTGGGGCCCACTAGACGGGAGAGACAAGGGGGTTGACAGCCCCTCACCAGACTTGGCTCCTTCCCAGGAGGCTGCCTGAAGCCCCCTCCCTCGCAGGACATGGGGTGAGAGGGGATGCGTCTGCAGAGCCTCACTGCCGCCTGACAGCCGGTTGCCATGGAAACGGTGGAACCAGGCGCCGGCTCTGCTGCCAGCCCAGCCCCTGCCCACGGTGTTGCTCAAGCCCCCAGACATCCCCAGAGTGACCCCCTCCATCCTCCTGGGTGGGAGAGGGGCTCTCTGAGCAGCCTGGACTCGGCTTCGTTGACCCATCTGGCGCTGGGAAAGTGTTCAAGTCTGGACCCTTTGGGGGACCTCCAGGTGGGAGGAACGAGGCAATTGCTGGCCCACCTCGCCAGGCCCAGGTACAGGCAGGGCCCTCCGCCTGGGGCCTGGCTGGCGGGAGCCGGGCAGGAGAAATGTTTGCAATTTGCGGGAAGAAGCCTGGGCCTGGTCTACTGCTACGGGAAGGCCCTGGGCTCACGCCTTCTGCCTCACCGAGCTCCACCCACCTGCCTGCCCAGGGGAACACCCAGGAAGTTTCTGGGCCTTCAGGGGCCTTGCAGGCAGCTTCCTATCAGGGTTGGCCTGAGAAGTGGGGGAGCAAGGGGGGGTCACTCTTCTGGCGCTGGAGAAGGGAAACTCCACCATGGCAGGGCTTCAGAGGGGTGCTTCAGCCCCCACGGCAGCTGGCGCCTCTCGCTCTTAGGGCTCTGGCTAAGAGTGCCCCAAAGCCTGGCGTGCCCAGCTCCAGGAGGTTGGCCTCAGCTACCTGTCCAGGCCTCACACTGTCCAAAGTGAGGGGAGGGGAGCCCTGCTCTCAGACCCCCCCCCCCACCATCCCCTGGGAGGGCCAGGGTGGTGGGCCAGGTGTTCCTGGTACGCAAGGGTGGGTGCTGAGGGGGAGCTAGGAATGGTGGGGCAGCCTCTGCCCCAGGCCTCCCCCAACACCCCAAGTTCTCCCCTCCAGGGAGGGGCAGTGGAAGTGCTCTGCCGAGTTTTAGCTTCCTGCTTCCCTTCCTGGAATGCAGGAGGAGAGGGAGAGGTGGAGAAAGGAGGAGCCAGAAGACATGGACCTACCCACTACCTGCCTGCCCCCCAGGACCCCTCTTAAGTAGGCCTCGGGCAGGCCCTGGTACAGGAAACTGAGTGCCAGCCCCAACTCTGTTGGGGGCCTGTTGGCTCTTCTGCCATCCGGGACCCTCTTGGGCCAGGTGCTCCCGGGCCCTGTGCAAGGACCTGACCCCTGCTGGGGTCTGAGGATGGGGGTGAGGGCAGGGCCTCATCACTCACAGCTCCTTGCAGTTGGCATCATACAGGGTCGCCCACTTGTTCTGCTGATGCGGCTGCCACTTGATGGACTGGTAGTTGGGGTCCAGGTAGGAACCGCTGAGGCTATCGCTGTCCTGCAGGAGACCTGGGGGCGAGGGAACACCCCTGTGGGCGCTGGGCCCAGTGCCCGATGCCAACCCCTTGGGGGCGGGCGGGCCATGTACCTGGTGAGGGTGCGCCTGGTGGGTGCCAAGGCGGCGTCTGCACCCGGGCGATGCTGAGGGGCAAGGAGCCGGGGCCCGGGGACAGCGGGCCCTGGGGCGGCCAGGGTGGGGATGGAGCTCGAGCAGGGTGCGGGGGCAGAGCCGACACGGTCCCAGGCTCCTGCTTGATCATTCCATTCAGCATCTGGGCATTGAGGGTACTGGGGGGTGATTCAGAGTGCTTCCTCTTCTTGGAGGGGTGTGTGGGAAGCCTGGGGGGTAGAGGTACACACCGTGGGGGTCGGCTCTCCCTGAGCCCCTCCCACTGCCTCCCCTCGCCCAGGGGACACCTCCTGCAGGAAGTCCACACCGTGTGCTCCCATTGCTGCGTGTTCCCGGGCTCTGTAACGTCCCGCTGCGCCCAGACCGTGGGGCCCAGGAGGACAGGAGACACACCTGGCTCGTTGCCTGCCCCACACCAAGCAGCAAGCTCGACGCTTAGAATGATTTGTCAGACGGGTAAGTCATTCCCTTCCCTTTGGTGTCACCTCTAGAGTGAGGACCTGAAGGCAGCCCCCGGCCAGAGGCTGGGAAGGAGCTTCCGGAGGTTGGAGGCTGAAGAGTTGGGAGTCTGCAGAGCACCCCACCCCTCTGGCTCACAGAAAGTTCGGGCAGCGGAATCTTTCCTCAAGAGAAAGCGTTTGTGAGGCAGGGAGGGGCCTTCTAGGTGGCCTCGGGGTTCAGTCTCAGCGCTGTCCCCGCTAAGGCCTGAGTTCGGTCCCCGCTAAGGCCTGAGTTCGATCCCCGGCCCGGAGCTGACCCACAGGGCACAGCAGACCCCTCCTGTCTCCCTGCTGCTCCCCTCAGCAGTTTCAGTCAGCCCACCTGTTCTGCTCCCTACAATGTCTGGGGAAGACTCTCACCCCCTCCCCCTGCACCTTTGACCTACAGCCCACCTCTTCTATGAAAAAAATAAATAAATATCTTGAAAAGAAAAAAAAAAGGGCAAGAAAGCTCTTGTGCATGTAGAACAACTAAAATAACCGAGGCGACATCTGGGTGGAAACATAGCCCTGGGTCATGTCAGGCTCTGCCCCTTCCGGGTCACCACCTGGACTGGCCCATTGACCTGTCTGTGCCCCAGAGGTGCCCCCCCCCAGCAAGGTGGCGTGGGCCTCTGATGGCGGCCGCCACCCCCTCAGTGACACGCGACTGGTGACCCCGTCGCCTGGGGTCAGTGCTGCTGCCCTTCCTGGGCTCATCGCCATCACCCCTCCATCTCTGCCCCGCCTGCTGCCGCCCCCACCCCTCCCCTGGCGGGGGTATGCCCACGCCTTACTCTGCGCCATGCTGCTGCAGCAGCTGGTGCAACATCTGGGACTGCTGGGTGTGGTGCAGCTCGGTGGGCACCAGCCCCGGCCCCATGGCAGCGTAGGGGGGCATCGGGGGCTCGGCCTTCATGTACAGGTCCCGCTGCAGGACCGGGTAGTGAGGCGGGGGCGGCGGGGGCCCCGGCAGGTGGGCTGGAGGTGGGGGCGGGTGCTCCAGGCGCGAGGACACTCCTACATGGCAGAGGGTCTCCGGGGTTATGGTGCGCAGGAGATGGGGGTCTGTGGGAGAGAGGGTGGGTGTCGGAGTCCTACCTCACTCAGGGTCCCGGGCACCGGGTCTCCCCGAGGCCGGACGTCCTGATCCCCACCCCCTCCTGAGCCAAGCTGGGAAGCAGCCTTGCCACCGCCCCACGTGGAAGGGGACTGGACGTGGAAGGGGGACTGGATGGCCTGCGGTGAGACCCAGGCCAGGGCCAGCAGCTTCCCACCCCATCCTGGCCAGCAACGCCCCTGCGGGGCCATGCATCCCAGTCCCCCAGTTCCTTCCTCTCAGCCCTGGCCTCCTTCGGAGCTTGGGAAGGAGCCTCCCAGGACCCCGGTCCTGTGGGGGTGGGGGCTTCTCCCTCCCCCCAGCAGCCCCTCCACCGGGCTCCCAGGGCCAGCCCCTCCCTTTGTTGCCGGGGAGGCATTCCAGACATGTTTTGGGTAAGATAAACAGAACTCTTGACCCCTCTCTGGGCTGTGGGGAGCTGGCTGCCTGTGATCCTTCTGCTCCTGGCCACCTGGGGGCCGCTGCACCCCAGCACCACCCAAGGTGAGACGGTGTGGCTGGCGGGCCAGGCTTGCGCTCAGGCTGCAGCCCGGGCCTTCCCTGTCCCCGCCGTCCACTTACCAAAGGGCGCGTCCATGATGGCGCAGGCGGCAGGCGGGTGGCATCACCAGCAGGGACACTTGCTCACAGCAGAGCCGGGCTCCCCACCCACCCGTGGGGAAAACAATAGCCAGCGCCGGGGAGTATTTGACCAGCGATAATCTAGGCCTGTAGGGCGGCCGCTGGCCCCCTCCCTCCCTTGTCCCCTCCCTCCCCGATAAGGCCGCCCCAACCACTTGCCCAAACCCCGGAGGGGGAGGGCGGTGCCCACTGGACTCACCATTCACCTGCTGGGGGGAGTAGGCCTCGGAGCCCGAGTCTGGGGGAGAGTCCGGGAGCGTGCTGCGGAGCAGGGGGAAGAGCTAGTGGGTGGGCAGCCGAGCGCCGCCCCAACCCGCCACCTTGGGGTGCCTGGCAGGGCTGGGCCTGCACTGTGGGCCGGGGGCCTGCCCGGCGTCCCCTCAGACCAGCCGGGCATTTGGAATCAGTGGGCACTGTCCCTGGCGATGGGGCTGGGCTCTAAGCTCCCTCCCCGCACCATGGGCCCGGCCCTCCCGCCCGCACCCACCAGAGCCCCACTTCCTGGAGACGCAGGGCTCCGGGAGGCCGGGCCTGGGGCACCTCCGCGGGTCGCCAGGGGCTGCCCGCCAGGGGCAGGTGTGGGCTGGGCAGGGAGCCAGCTGCACCAAGCCTGGGTTTATTTTCTTCTTGCAGGTTTTGTTTTATCAGTGGTTCGGGGAAAGAACAAACGCAGCCCCGAGAGGTCAACACGTCCTGCGTGAAGCCTGCGCTGGCCAGAGAGAGGGAGGCCACGGCCACACGCGGTCCTGCTGGGCGGCTGTCGGGTCCCCACCTCTGGAGAGACGGCCTCCCGCCGTGCTCAGGCTGCTGACCGGCGTGGACCCGCGCCAGGTCCGGAGACCCCCGGCTCTCCAGACCAGCACCCCCTAATCCCGCAGGAGTCGGGAGAAGCGCTGGGGCCCCACCCTGCCCGGCCGCCAGCCCCCAGGGCCACCTGGTCTCTCCGGTTCCTCCTGCTCCCTGTACTTCCCCCCCCAGTGATCTTGGGCTCCCCAGAGGGACAAGGTCGTTCACACCTTCCGATCCCCACAATCCACAGGACCTTGTGTTCTTTCCTCCTAACTCCTCACTCCTCCTCGTGATTCTTTGACTCTGGGGGTTACTGATTAATAAATTCCCGCCCAACTAGATGGCAGCATCCGCCCAGGGAGCGATGACCGGGGCTGTACCCCCGAACGGGATCTGGTGAGGACAGCAGCTCACCAGGCCAGCGACCCCATGGGACCGTCTCAATCTCTCTGAGAAATGGTCTCTGCATGTCCATCAAATCTTGTGTGAGGGGTGGCAGAGCTCTCCTCAAAGGCTGTTTTGGGGCCCAGGGGTGGGTCACGGGGGACGGCTGACGCGGCATGTTGAACAGCAGGGGCCGTGGCAGGCGCCTACGTGTCCCGACCTTCCGCGACTTCCACCTCCTTGCCCCTGTGAGGGGCTTAGGGACGGCCCCTCTCCCCCAGCAGGCCTTCTGCCTCCTGCAGCGAGGCCCCCCGGCACCCCAAGCTGACTCTGCTGCCCTCCCTGGTAGGCCACTTGACTTGCCAGAGGCTGAGGCCCGGCAGGTTGTGGGTTGCTGAGGCAGAAGTCTGGGGAGCGGGGCCAAGATGAAGCCGGACTCTCTGAACAGTGTCACGCCCCGCTGTCCTTACACCCTGAGATAGGGTCCCGAGCTCCCGCCCCAGGCTGGTGGGCCCAGGACTTTCTCCGAGCCCCTCCGTAGACCCTAGCAGACCACCGTCCTCGCTCCTTGCCTCTCCCCCTGACCCCGTGTCTGCGAGTGGCCCTGGCGTCGGGCTGGGCTGCTGGCACCCCAATCTTTGGTGACAGCCGGGCCCATGCTGAGCCCTTGAGTCAGGACACTGCAGCCCGCTCCTGTGGCCTCGGTGAGGAGCGGCTGGAGCAGCTGGGATGGCACCGGGAGCCGATGTGCGGCCCAGTGTGCGCTCACCTGTGTGCAGGTGTTCCGTGCAGGTAAACAGCCCCCTCCTGTCCACTCTCCACACAACATGTGGATTTTCCTAGCACTCTCGGAACCCTGGGTGGCTGTCCACGGCCTCAGTCTAGCTGGGCCCTAGTCTGGCCCCGTCCTCACCCCACCCAGGCCGCCCTGGCACCTGGCCGTCCATCCCACTGCCAGGCCTCAGCCAGCCCCAGGCCCGCGCTCCTGCCCCCCACACCCTGCCTGCCCCAGGCCCTGTTCCCACCGCCATCCCACACCCCCCGGCCCTCACTCACCCTGGGGCATAGGGAGCCTTGGGCTCCGCCTTGATGGGGGGCCCTGCACCCCCCAGGAAGGGCTTGGGCATGGCACCCATGCCATTGTTGTTGTTGCAGTTGAGCGGGGCGCTGTAGCTCGGGGGTGGGAGGGGACCATGGTGCCCCGGGGAGGGTCCACCCCCAGGGGGGCTCAGGTGGTGGACCCCACTGGAGCCGGGGATCGCTGGCTGCCCGTGGGGGTAGGAGGCCGCACTGGCTGGAGCAGAGATGTCAGGGAAGCAGCTGTGGAGAAGGGAGGAGGCTCAGCCAGGACCCCAGCCTCCCGCCCCCACCCGCCAGCAGGGTGGGGCAGCAATGGGTGGGCTGCCCAGGGAGGGGAGCCGCTTTCAGAAGTGGGGCCATGCCCCCCCAGGTGGGAGGTGGAGCCAGGGGCTGGGGGAGGCCTCCTGGGGGCACTCACAGGTCCGAGGCATCTTCCTTGCTGATGTACTCCTCCAGAATGCTGGTGTCTATGCTGGAAGGCTCCAGGGCCCCGTTGATGTCGTGGCCTGCGGGGCAAGGAACCTCAGCTTGAGGGGGGCCGCTCTCCTGGACTCCTAGGCCTCAGGCCGTGGCTCAGGCCTCCACCCCTCCATCCCCCCAAGACCAGGCCCTCCCAAACATATGCCCCCAGGGGAGGCCTTGGGGGGGGACCGCAGGGGGAGGGAGACTTCAGCGTCCACACTGACCACGTCCAGGAACACTGAGGGTGATCCCCCAGCCCAGTCCCCAAGGGGAGGGGGCCAGAGTGCAGATCTGGCACAGATAGTACCCTACTGCACCTCGGTACCCCCTTTTGGCTTCTTGACATGAACATATCTCTTTGAGGTGCTGTGAGGTGCAACCAAGGCATGTTGTTGAGTGGAGAGCGCTGTGGCTGCCCGTCACCCCGTGACTTGGACCCAGACCCCACGACTCGCCTGCCCTGGGGGACCCAGGTGGCTCATGGGAGCACACGCATCCCGGGGGCTCGGGGGCCTGGAGGAACCTTCTGTACCCAGGCCCCAGCTGCAGACAGAGAGGGAGCATCAGGGGTGTGCAGACAGTCCCCCCTTCGCCTCCACAGCAGGGGATGGGGTGCTCAGCACAGCTTTCCCGAGGAGGAATGAGGCCCGGAGAGCGGAGGGCTAGTCCTGGCCGCAGCAGGCGAGGACGGCCGCAGCTCCACTCCTCCGCCGCCGCCCTCTCCTGGCCCTCCCAGTTGGCCCCAGCCCCAACCATCTCCCAGCAAAGTACCCAGCACGCTGGTGCTTCGACAGGGGAGGAGACAGGGAGGTGCTGGCCTTTCCCCTCCCCGGGTCACCTTGTCGGGGGGAGCCAGAGGGTGGGGTGATAAGGGGGCTGACGTGAGAGATGCGTCAACCCCGATAATAGGAGACGGCCCCACCCCCACCGCTGCCCTAGACTGGCTAGCCCCACTGAGGCAGGAAGCACCCCTCCGCAGACTCCTGGAACTGCAAATCTGGGGGCCTGCACCTCCTTTGGTGAGCCCCAGAAACAGAGCTCAGACTGGGCCCGGAACAAATCCTGGCTGGGGCGCGCCTGCTGTGTGACCCTGGACAGGTCACTTACCCTCTCTGAGCCCCAGTCGCCTCATTAGTAAAATGGGAACATGAACGGCTAACACTTCACAGGGTGGTTTTCGGGCATAAGCAGCATCAAGCCCAGCGAACGGAGCGGCAGCCCTCACTTGCCAGTCCTGGAGCCTGGGGTCCCCAGGAGCCCCCAACCCAGGCCCCTCTGGCCCTGGCCGGCATTTCAAGAATGCTGAGCACCGCTTAGGTGATTAGTGTGTGGCTAAGCCCTCCTGGGAGTCACGCGCTGCCAGCGACAGCCCTCCTGCCGGCCCCCACCCAGCTCACCCGGCGGGGCACCCACGGAGCCCCACAGGGCCCTGGGCGGCCGGGACAAGAGGAGTTTCTCAAGCCAGGCATGACACGCCGCATGCCCGGGGTCCCAGGGTACCCATCTCCACTCCAGCTCCTACCCCAATTAAACCAAGGGCCCATTTAGTGAGCGCCCATTTAGTGAGGCACGCCGCCTCGGCGTTTATGGCCACGACGCTACTTAATCCTCCCAACCTGGAGCGCGCAGGGACCTGCCTGAGCGCCTGCCTGCCTGACACTGTCCCTGTGCTGACACTGTCCCTGGCTTTCCCTCCCAGTCACCCAGGACACATGGCCTCACTAAGGTCACCCCCCTGTCCCAAGAGATCAAGCCTCTGCTCCAGACAGCCCAGAGAGCTGTGGTGGGGAGATGGCTGCTGGGACTCCCACTTGGGAGTGGGCTGCCCCACCCGTGGGCCTGGGGTCCCGAGGGAGGACCAAGTTCGAGGAGGGGGTACTGGAGCGTCACTCCCAGCCTGGCTGCTGAAGTTGCAGGTCTTTGAGACTGAACTTGGAATCTACAGTGAATGATGGGGTGATGGTTCCTGGTGTTGCTATTTATAACAGGACGGCTCCAGCCCTCCGCCCTTCCTCCTCCTCCTCTTCCTCCTCCTTCTCCTCCTTCTCCTCCTCCACCCTGGCCAGGAGCTCTCCTAATCACCCCTAATCCTCCTGCCCACCTCCCCGGGGGTTGGGGCCTCAGCAGAGGCATCCTGGGAGACCCTAATGAGAACCAGATGTGGTAGGGGGAGGAGAGGCCCTCGGTGCCAGGGGCCGGGAGAACGGAGGTGGAGGAGGGAGGAGGGAGCCACAGGACAGGGTGGGGGTGGGGCCATGGTGGGGGGAGTTGGAGGTGAGGGGCACAGCAGGCCTCCTAAGGAGCACTGACCCTGCCTCTGCTTCTCTGGGAGCCCTGGCGGCTGGCAATCTTGAGGGCACGGCCACCCCCAGGTGCCCCGCAAACAGCCGCAGAGATTTCTAAGCAAGCGCTCCAGGAGAGAGGGTGGGAGCGAGGCTTTGAGAGCCCAGGGATTCCTGAGAGGAGAAGAGCCCCTGGGGAACTCAGGAGGAAGGCAGGGCCCTCTGGGCACCACTCTGGGGGTGCCCTCTTCCCCCACTGCTCCCCAAGGAGCCTGCAGCATCACTGGTTCATGCCCACCAGGTCGGGAGTGGAGCCTGTCTCACGCTGGCCCTCAAGACCAACATCCCCAGGCAGAAAAGAGCACCCCGTCCTTTCACAGGATCCTCCAACAGCCCCTCACTGCCGGCACTACCTCCACGGCGCCCCAGCTCCCCCCCACTGCGCTCCAAGGCCAGCCTGAGACCCACAGCCCCGCACGCCAGGGTCCTTGCACCGGCTCCTCCCTCCGCAGGAGGAAGACAGCTCCTGCTCATGCTGTAGGTCTGGGCAGGAGTGGGAGTCCCCCTCGGACAGCCCATCCTCTCGAGAGGTACCCCCTTCCTCTGCCAGAATCCCCCCTCTCTGCATGCTCCTTACTCTCCTAGCACAGGACTCGTGGGCTCTTGGGGCTGTCCGCAGCCCGTCCCTCACCACACTGGGCCGTCACTGCGCCCCGCGCCCATATTCATCCAACAGTGGGACAGCCGGACAGGGCAGGTGGGTTTCTTGCCCCCACTTTACAGGCAAGGAAGCTGAGACTCAGGAGGGGTAAGGGCGGAGCCAGGAGCCATCAGTGCGGGAGCTGGGCCCTCAGCCCTGCCCGGCTCTGTTCCTCTGTATGCATCCGAGCATACAGTCGGCCTGCGATCAATGTTCATGGAGGGCGTGGGCCGAGCAGGCACCGGAGCGAGGCCTGTCGGGGACGCCGCCAGGCCAGCTGGAGTCTGGGTTGACGGCCCCCCGGGTGCTGCCCCACCCTGCTAAGCTGCCCCTGCCCCTCATGAGCTAGACCCTCTCGTACCTGTCTTCCAACAGCAGCCAGACCCTGCCCCTTCCCAGACGGCTGGATCTAGGCTGTGGGGAGGATGGAGCCGCCCCTCCCACTTCTCCTGTTAAGGCCACCCTGCTGGGAAGACAGGAGCCCAGGGGACACAGGCCAGGTGTGGGGTGAGGGCGTGGGGGGCCCAGGTGGCTCCTCCCATCCCCCTCCCTGTGCTCACGCACCCTCCTCCCCACCAGCTGTGGCCACTGGCTGAGTCTCGGTCATTGTCCTGGAGAACGGGGGAGGGTGGGGACGCAGCACAGTGGGAGGCTTGTGCCCTGCCCACACCCCCCCTGCCCGTCAATGGGGCACTTGTCAATTCATGCCCCAAACATGGCGGAAATCCCGTCGGCCACGTGGCCACCGGTAGGGCAGGCCAAGGCGTCAGGAGGTTGGCCAGGGCTAGCTGATCTGAACCTGGGGCGGACAGGACTTGGGGCCCAAGCCTGTCCCCCGGCTCCCTTGAGTGTCCATCCTAGGCATCTGAATCTGAGGGGTGCCCTGGTTTGAGGCAGGTGTGGTCAGGGGACTGTCTACCTTAGAACCCCCATGAGGCCCTACGAGACTCCTGAGGTCAGAGAGGTCTGGCTGTTTCGCTGCTACATGGCTGTCTGCAAGTGACCTTACCTCGCTGCATCCCAGCTTCCTTCCCTATCAAGTAGAGCAGAAATCCCTGCACTTTGGGTGACTGTGTCTTCAGTGGGTGGTGGGGAAGCACCTGGCCTGGGTGGCCACCCCTCAACCAGTGTTAACTGCTCTGTTTCTGTCTCTCTGGGGATTCCCACTTGCCCCCAAGCCTCTACCAGTGCCTTGCCACCTAATTGCATCCCTGCTCCGAGGCCTCCAAACCCTCTCCCGAGTCTCTCTGGAACACGACGAGCTTACTGACACATGCACAACAGTCTAGCCTCCAGGCCTCAGCTCCAGACATCCTCTAGTGAGTCAACCTTTGGATATGATGGCCCAGCAGCCCCTCCATCACCTCAGTCACAGGGCACCCCCATATTACAGGGCTAATCAGCAAGCTCCAAAGTAGTTCGCTCTAGGATGGGGCACAGTGGGCTTTCACCTCCTTTGGTTTGGATTTTCTATCTTTACTAATATGATCTGTGATTCATATCACTGTTAGTTGTCCCTGCCTCAGGCTTTAACTTGTGGCTAGAGTCTCCTTGCTGAAAATGCCTTCAGAGCAGATGCTTGCTTTTGCAAGCAACTCTTACATCTCTGCACCAATTCCCAGTTAGAGTTGGCTCAGCTGACAAGGATGCGGCTCTTGAGTCACTGCCCATCAAGTTCACAGGTCAAAGCCAGAGTGGTTTTTGTTCCCTCTCAATTTCTTGACAAAATGAAGCCAAGCCTGGCCTCCTGCCAGCATGGACTCATCTCCTCCAGGGTCTTCAGCTGTCCTGGAACGTGCTTCGTCTTCCCAACATGGGGTTCCCAAAGCCCCACGTGGACACTCGAAGGCTGAACTGCCAGTTTCGAGCGCTCCCAAGTTAGGCGCGAAAGAACTGACATGCTCATTGGGCCCCAGGGAGGTCCTCTTTGCTTGGTGTGTGTGTGGGGGGCGGGGTTCCCCAGCCCAGACTCCACAAAAGTCAGCTCCTCCCTGGCATTCCCAAGTCTCTACCCACAGGGACCAGGATGGGCAAAGTCGGGACAAGGGCAGGTGTCCACCTGGGTCACCTCTGCCACCAGCCAGGCCGCGCACATGCAGATGAGGGGACACCCCGGCACCCATCCGCCGACACACGGGTGGGCACCCACAAACTCAGGCGCCCACAGTGTGCGTTCCCGCACTGACACACCGGCGTGCTCCCCACCTGCGGCTCCTTCAGTCTGTCGATTTTTCATTGAGCAACGACTACATCTCAGACACAGCGTGAGGCCCCAGGGATCCAGCAATAAACCCACCAGGCACCCTCCTGCCCAGCAGGAGCCGACATTCGGGGGAGCAGACTCGACGGCAAAAGGGTTGGGAAACACCCAACCATTCTGGAAGGTCACAAATACTTTGGAGAAGAAAAAGAGGGGTGGGCTTGGGTGGGGTGCCAGAGGACTGGGGGATGAATTGTAATTTATTTTTATAAAGGATTCATATTTAAGCTTGCCTTTTCCTTTTTTTTAGGTGTATTTATTTATGCATACAGAACTGGGGTACAGGCTGGTCGTGCAGGGGCAGTGAGAGGATTCACCAGAGACAAGTGGGCAGATTGATGAGGTACACTCCTGAGGGGAGCAGCGGGCGGGTCAGGAGAGGTCTGCCGCGCCATGTGGGTCACCTCCGGGGCGGGGATCGAACTTGCACTGAAGCGGCCGTGGCCAGAGCGCAGTGCTGGCTTTAACCCTCTGCGCCACTGGTAAGGGGCTGATTTGTCATTTTAAATAAGATGATCAGGGCCCTCCCTGGTGGCTCAAAGCATTAAAGCACAGCACTAGGAAGCTCTCCGCAGCCACTGCAGCACCAGTTCTATCCCTGGCCAGGGAGGGGACCCACATGGCGTGGTGGACACCCCCATCTCATCTGCTGCTCCCCTCAGCAGTGTGTTTCAGTCAGTCTGCCTGTTCTGCTCCCCACCCTGTCGCTGGTGAATTCTTTTGCCCGCGCCTCTGGCCTCTGCCTCAGTTCTTGTATGCAAACGTAAATAAACCTTTAAAAAATCAATAAATAAAACGATCAAGGAGGGCCTCCCTGAGCCCAGATATTCAGGTATGAGGCAGGTGAGCCACGTGGCTTTCTGGGAAACACATCCGGGGAGGTGGTCGGGTGCCAGTGCAAAGGCCCTGAGGCACGAGAGCTCCTGTGTCTGCACCCCGACATGCCTCAGACACGTGTACACATGTGCACCCAAACGCCCACGACTCAGGCCCACACACCTCCTCAGCTGCAGCTGGAGCCCGATCCAACTGGGCAACCTCTGTTCCATCAACGGCGGGGTCCCCAACAGCGCTGCCCCCCCACCACCTCCAAGCTGCAGGACTAGGAACGGGGAGTAACACAGGAGGGACAGATGAACACAGGGGTGTGGGGGAAGGCTCCAGGGGCGGTGGGAGCCCCAGACTCTGCCAAGGAGAGTCCATCTAGGTCAGATGGAGGGAGATTTTCTGGCCAGTTCAGCCTGGACACAGGGGTAGGAAGGGGGCCGGCAGTTGCTGTCACAGCACAGTCAGGGTTCTGGACTGCTCCCCTCCCACCCCAGGCCTACGCTCTCTGGGGGCTCACTGCTTACAGCCCACAAACTTGACGACCTGAGGGCCAGAGAGGTCAGGGGGCCGCACAAAACCACATAGTCCAGCCGGTGGCGGCAGATCCTGACCCTCAGAAGCAAGGAAAGCCCCACGCCAGGCTGCCCCCACCGGTGCTGGGCTGCTCAGGACCCCATCAGCTCTGGGGCGGCTGCCCTGAATGGGCCTGACTCCTCACCTTCCTGTCCTGCCTCAGCACCTCTCTCTCAGAAACAAGGGGACACCACCCACACTTCCTGGCAGCCCAGGACTCCCCGAGATGACATGCAAACTCCCCTGGTCTGGGTGTGGCAAGCAAAGACAAAGGACAGTGGAGCCCCCTCCCTCTGGCCTGCTGGGCCCTGCCCAAGTTCCGCATCTCTGAGGTGCGGGGTGGGGCGGAGGCCAGAGATGGGCACACCACAGGGCTGGAGAGGCCCCCTGTGCCTGGCCGGGCGGAAGGCTGGCGAGCGGCTTTGCCACGGCACACAGCACCAGCCAAGGGCCCCCCGCCCAAGCCTGAGGCCCAACCTGCCCTATGGGCCAGTAAATGCTCAAAGTGGGGAGCACAGCACCCACGGGGAACCTGTCCAGTGGGCTGTTCATGCCCCGTGGGGTGGCAATTGCCAGCCCGGCTGACTGCAGGGAGGGGAACCGCATGGGCACTGTGGACGCTTGCCTGCTCCCCGCGGAAGCCCGAGGGCGGAGCTGTGACCGCAACCTCACTCCCACTGTACAGCAGAGAAAACGGAGGCACGAAGCCTGCAGGGCTACGGTCTGGCGGGCGGCGGAGGATGGGCATCAGGTCCCGGAGGATGGCCCCCGCCTCAGCCACCAGGTCGCCCGCCCGCATCCAACAGCTGGAGACTTCCAGGAGGGACAGGAGGCCCCTGCCAGCCCAGCACCCAGGCTGTGAGGGAAACTGAGGCCCAGAGGAGGGAGGGAGCTGGGCTGCAAGCAGGAAGAAAGTGGAAAGGAAGGGCAGGCGGCCTGGGTGGGGCGCCCCCCCCCAAGTTAACCATTTAGTTAATGATTTCTGCTCCTAGGTGCTTATCTGGAGGGTAAAGTCCAAGAGCTTTAGCCAATCAGAAGCCTTGCTGCGCTATTTCCCAGCAGCCTCTGCTGCCAGGCGCCTGCTCCCGCACCCCCCCCCCCACAAGTCCCATAAGCCCTGAGGAGTCAGAAGTGGGGCCAGGTCCCCAGAGTGGCCTGTCGTCCCCCCAACACCCTGCTCGGCTCTGCCTAAGACCCCAAGGGCACTCTGCCCTGGACTCAGGAGAGGCCTTGAGCCCAGCGGGTTGAAGCAGCTCTTCTGTTCCTCCTCCCTAGCACTGACCCCAGGCCTCCTAGAGAGCTGACTTCCTGGGGTGCACCCCACCCCGCCCCTGTTCACATAGCCATTGTTGCCTCCATTGAACCCAGAAACATTTCCTGCCACCCCCACCCCACTGGGGGTGTTGCCCTGTGCTGGGTGTCCAGGACATGGGGGTGAGTCAGACGCCCCCCGCCACTGCCCCTCCATCCGGAACACAGTGGCTGGGGAGGTGGGGCTGGCAGTCAGATGAACTGGGGCTGGCATAGGAGGCCCGGGGGGGCTGTGGGTAGACCCAGGAGGCTGTGTGCACCCCATCTCATCTCTATCTATCCACTCCTGGGCACACTACAGACACATGGCACCGTGCTACCCCCACACCCGTCAGCTGGACCCCCAGTGGGTGGACGTCCTCTCCCCCAGTGGTCTCTCCACGAGGAAGGAGGGCCCTGCCTCAGGCCCAGCTGGCAGAGGAGGGTGCAGGGGTGGGGCCGGGGTCAGCTCTGGCTGCAGTCTTGACCCTGGGGAAGGGAGTCCATGCCAGCCGCCCCCACTCCCACTGGGGAGGTGGGGGAAAGTAGCTTCAAGCCAGGATCCTGGTGCCCTGGGGGCTGTGGGGAGCCCAGCCCCTCTGTGTCCATGGTACAGGTTCTCTTGGAAAGATCACAGTGAAAGGCCCAGTTCTGGGGGAGCCGCTGGACTACTGGGAGGGGACTTGAGATGGAGGGAAGCGGCCAGCCCGGGTCAGGCCTAGAAGCGGGGAAACTGCTTTCCATCTGGAGCCCTGATGAGGTTCTGGGGTCTGAGTGCAGGTTCCCCAACCTGCCAGTGTCCTGCCCAGCATTTTCCGGAAGCCAGAAGTTTCTCTCAGTCTCTCAGGATTCCTCCACACTCACCTGCTTTCTGGGGGTGCTGGCTAGTCATCCAAGCTCCCCTCATGCACCTGAACAACACCCTCCCCTGCATGCTTTAACATTTAAAACATCCTCCATCATTGGGAGAAAAGACCTCCACCGCCCCTCCCGCCTCGCAGGTAAGAAAAGCAGCCCAGAGAGGGCCGGAGCCCTGCATGGGGTCACACAGCTCTGGCACAGAGGTGCCAGGATCCTCTGATGCTGCCTGGTTCCTAGTCCTGACCGCAGTCACCTGCCACTACCATCCGGTTACCTGCCGGGAGCCAGAGCATCCTGCACCGCCGCCGACAGCCCTCTGCAGGCCCTGTGCCCGCCGGTCTGGGCGCTGGCCGCAGCCCAGGCGGGCGGTCACGGGGACCTGGCCGTGCCAGCCTCAGGGCCGCCTATCCTGGCCTCCCACCCGAGACCCAAGCGCCTCAGCCGCTACCCGCCGCCCCAGGTGGGGCACAGCCTGGCCACCACACAGGCAGGCCCGGAGCCATGCCTAGCGGCCGGAGGCCCTGTCAGGAGAGGGGTCTCCGACCCTTCAGCCAAGCCCTTTCCCACCTGGGAGCCCAGAGCCCAAAGCACAGAGCCCCGCCCTGCGCCCCTGTTCAGAGGCAGTGACCTAGACCAAGTGGAGGGCCAGGGTGACAATTCAGGGGCACCCCGTCCTCAGTCAAGAAAAGTGCCAGCGGCTCCCTCAAGGGCAGCAACTTGTCCACACCACGAGCGTGTTTCCTCTCATCTCAGGAACACCCGAGCACCCGGCCTTCAGGGGTGCTCCCTACAGCCAGCCACACTGGGTCCTCACAGCCCACCTGAGGCCCTGCCAGGGGCCAAAGGGCCCCAGTGACCCTGGCCCCTCACCCCCAAATCTGGGCTCCGGGAGCACTTTCCCAGACCCAGCTCCCTCGGGAGAGGCAGGCAGCCCCACACCCCGCCCATGCTCCCCACAGACATTCTTGAGTCTCCTCTTATCTCTCTGGAGGGAGCAGCGCATGGCTGAGCTGTGGCGTCAGCCCCCACCCCCCACCCACGGCCAGGAGGGAGAGCTTGGCTCAGGAGAAGGGAGCCCAGGCCAGGCAGGCCCACCCTGGCCTGGGCCCAGGGTCCTGGGGGAGGGGCGCGGAGTGTCTGCAGGAAGCAAGGGGGCCTGACCCGTGGGCCCCCACTCTCTCCGGTGTCTGGTAGGCTCCAGGCACCGGAAAACAGTGCCCCCCAAACAAGAACTATGCCCCCTTCCCGGCTCGCCAGGACCCCTCCACCCCCATGAGCCCCTCAATGTCTCCCGCAGGGTGAAGAAACAGTGCCTGGGACGGATAGGGGCTGCCTGGGACCTCCAGTCCAGACTTGATTTCTCGGGCTCTGGGGCACTGTGGGATTCAGAATCCCGAGGCCTGGGGATGCCCTTACCTGGGCAGCTCACTAAGCAGGAGTGGACAATGAGTCCTCTCCTCCCCCCATCACGAAAAGGGAGCCGCTGGGGCCCAGACAGCCCTTCCTTCCCCCCTCACAGGACTCCAAATGTAGGCACTGGACTTGAACCTGGCCGCTCCCGCGCTGCCCACAGCACAGACCGCCCCTGGGCCATCGCCACCCCCGAGGCCAGACTCTGGATCACAGCGCTCTGCATTCCCCAGGCTCAGAGGAGCGGACTGTAGGTGGGGGTGGGGGTGGGGGTGGGCAGGGGTTGCTCCCCAGCTTGGTAAAGAGGGGAACAAAAAGGCCAGAGGACCAGGCTACATACTCCTCTCGGGTCTGAGAAGCCGAGGGCTGGGACAGGTCAGCGGCGCCTCTGCCCCCTCCAGGACTCTCCACCCTTCAGAATCCCTGCAGGGGGGCAGAGGCTCCTCAGGGAAAGGGGAGGGGACCCTGACACAGGCGCAGACCTCCAAAAACTCCGGAGTGGGGGAGCAGATCCCAGTCCTGGGGAGGGTCTAGTGAGTGAGTGAGGGGTGCTGCTCCAGGACAGGTGTTGGGGGGACTCAGCCCCCCGGGCAGGATTCAGGCCCCAGCTTTGGAAGGGTCTCGGCAGGAAGGTGGCCGGCGGCAGAGATGTCAACTACAAGAAGCTTCTGGCCCGAGGAGGGGCTGGGCCTGGGGGTGCCCAGCTTCAGAAGTACTGGACAGGGTTCCGGGCTGCTTCCTGGGGAATCTCAGTGGTCAGGGAAGCACAGCCTTGGAGAAGGCAGTGGCAGCTCGCAGGGGGCCGTGTCTCAGAGGAGGTCCTCGTGGGGGGGGGGCACAGTATGAGGGCGCAGTTCCCCAAGTCAGGCTAGCGGGCAGGAGCCAACATGAAAGGTACAGGGGCCTGGGTCGCTAGTGGGGTCCCAGTCTGTGAAAGGAGGGGGCTAGGTGCCAGTATCAAGAGGCATGGAAGATCCTAGAAAGCCTGTGTTTGGGTGGGGGAGGGTGTCGGTCCTCAAAGCCGGGCGGGCCTGGATGGGGTTCTAAGGAAGCATACCAGAAGGTCCCCAGACTCTGGAACTGGGGGGAGGGATCAGCATTAGGGGCGACTGCAGGTCCCAGAAGGCATGAAGGAGGCCCCAGCATGAAACAAAACACAGCTCCGGAGAAGTTGTGTTTGGGGGTTCATGGGGGGGGCGCCCAACTTCAGTGGAGACTCCTAGTTCTCAGAGCCAGCCTACTGGAGGGGCGCAGAGTAGAGGGGACCTTCTGAGGAGTCTCAGGCGGGGGTCCCAGTGCCCGCAGATCACGGAGGTGTCCCAGCGCCGGAGGGTCG